GGCAAAAAATGGCCTTCCCCACCCCCCTGGGGGTCCACCGGAGACCGAAAACACCCCGTTTGACAATTTCTGGTCCCGCCGGAATTGAGCTCGCATTCCCACTGATATGGCTACATGTGCCACCTATGGCACACGTGTCATAGGTTCGCCATCATGGCTTTATACTGATCTAGGCACTGACAGACAGTTACCATTACAATCATGAAGTAAAAATTATTAAAGTGTGAAAAATCTGAGCATCCATCAGACTAGGAGAGTGACATACAAATGATATATTGTAAATATCACAAACTATAATAAACTCATCTATTTATTTAGCATCCATGACTATCACTAAGTGTTGTATCTAATGTTTTATGATGAATGTATTTTTACAATGACTATGATAAAGTTCTATCACTATTGTTGTATGTGCACTGAGAGTTTATGCATCGAAAATTCATTGTGTGTCTAATCACACTTGGCCAATAAAGAATTCTGTGCTGTGCTGTGCTGTGCTGGTCCTAATCTGTCCTGTCCTGTCCTGTCCTGTCCTAGTCTATTTTTACCAAATAATCCTTCCCTAATCTTATGTCTGCTTTCTTCCTAAACCACTCTCATTATTAATGCTTTTTATAAAGTATATAATTTTACTTGAAAGATATTTATGATAATGGTCAGGAAGTAGTGGAAAATTTCAATTGATTTGTTCACTGTCAGTTTCAGTTTTACAAAGATGAATTTACCAATAGTAAAGAGGAATGGTGGATGCCATCAAATGTGTGCTCCAAAGAGGAACTTGTAACACAGAACCATATGCATTGTTTTCAGATTTTGGCAAAACAGCTTTTAGTAATGTTGAAAGTACAAGAATTTTACATATAAGAGAACTGTGGAACAGTCCAACATTCTCTGCAAAATCCAAGAAGGAAACAACAGGGAATGGGATAAGGAAGGTGAAGCTACTGGTTTCTTATAGGCTAAAGCAGCCTTAAGACTGCTGCTTTATTCTCTTACTGACAGCTCTTAAATAATCCTTATCACTGTAGATACTTTGCAAGTTCCCCCTCTCATCTGAATCACTTGGGCTGCTCGACTTCTCCAGTCAAGAGATTATTTCCTTATGAAATAATCTCTGCTTTCCACTTCTATGAGTAGAATTGTATTGAAGGCTCTAAATGGGAGTTGGGGAATGGTTTTCTTTTTGAGTTGACTATCCTGTTAGGATGCCTTCAATTCAATTCATCTCCATATTTTCATGTTATTATTCAATGGCAACTGAATTAGTAAGCCATTCTTTGTGGCAGCATTTTCTTGCATCGTATTATTACATATATGTATTTTCCAGGAAAAACACTAACAGAGCAAAACATTTTTAAAAACTCATGAAAGAGAATAACCTTATGAACAAGTTATTACCAAACTTAAAATATATTGCTTTATAGTGTATCTTTAGGGCAAATGTTTTCTGTAATGTAGCCAAGCATATATTCAAATGATTGAAGTGACAATCACCAATCAAGTGACCTATTTTAAGATTCATTTATTTAAATATAAGTCTAGAACAATGGAAAGACAACATTTTAAAGTAAAATAATATATTATCCTTTCCCGTTCTGGGTTCAGTTTGTCAATATATTATGCATCTGGTTCCTACAGCCACTGTATTTTTTACATGGAATCAATGCTTATTACATAGGCATAACTGAAAACCAGATAAATGTAAAACCTTAATCTGAATTGTGCTATTGTGTGTTATGACACATTTCTGATATTTCTTCTATAGACATTTGTTCTCCCTAGTGAATTCTCATACATGCTTAAAGCAAGCTTTCTTTCTGTCTTTAATTTCAGTCCCAAATCAACAAAAACCAAGTTGTAATTTGTCTAAAAGAGATATTTTTTATGAATATTATCATACTGTTATAGAATATTTGCTGAAATGGCCTTCAGATTCCTCCCAGTCCTGTACTGCTAAATCCGGCTTCATTACTTATATTTGATCAGTTTGTATTTTATGACTAACACAACAATTTTTGTCATGTATATCTGATTGCAATACTGTTTTTTCCCCTTTAGTTTCATCTGATGAAATAGATTTGGAACATCTAATACAAATGAATATACTTAGAGTACAATCCCGAGTACTAGCATATCCAGAAACCAATCTCAACAGAACTAATGGATATCATAAAGAATGGAGTCTTTTTTTGTGATAATTTCAAGAGAGTGCAAGTTGCCCCAAAGATTAAAAGGTTGTTAGATCTGTCTGTGCTCATCTATGTATGGTGCAAGGTAGTGATGGCCAAAAGAGGATAAAATAAAATCTCGTTGAGATTTAAAATCTCTCTCTATAAAGTACTATTTAGAGTCTTCGCTCTATGTGAAATTCTCTATATACTCATGCATAGGCCATATCTGCTAGGATAATCAAGTCCTAGTAATATTTATTTTTCTCCTTGTCCTTGCGATGTTTTCTTTACCTCATCCTCAGCCAATGAGTTTGACCAGTTTAAGCTCCTAGCTCTACCAATAATATAGTAGGGTTTTTCTTTGTAGTAGAAAGGAGTTAGGTCACTGGAACAGACTGAGAGTATATTGTCCATATACCCAGAATTTATAAATTGAAACTGATTCCATCTTTAGATAGTGATTAGGACTCTATAATTGAGATTGCTGAGAATAAGTTATATGGTGCATCCCATTCCAGGTCTCAGAGTTTATAAGGAGACATGTATAAGAATCAAATCAAATAAAATAAAATAAAATAAAATAAATTGAAAACCATATAAAGATAACACCAACAATACATTGTCTGCAAATAGTGCAAACCATGGAAATTAGTCTTTATCCAAACATCAATTATTTCTCACTGTCTGAAACATTACTGGAATGGATACATGTTCACTATTTTTAGAGCATTGGACAAAGTTTGGTTGGTGTTAAGATCCAGTTTTATTTCTCTTTTTAATTTTGGGAAAAAAATGTAAAGATACAGTTCTCAGCCTGCTTTACTATTGGCTGTGTTATCTGGGTTTGCTGAAAGTTGTTATTCTCTAGTGTACCTTTGCTAGCTAATTCCCACTAACTCCTTACTGTGCGTATAGTATTTGTCTACATTGGGCATTCATTGAAATTTTAAACAGACCTTTATTTAAAATTTGTTTTGTGGTGTTTTGTGTGTGTGTGTGTGTGTGTGTGTGTGTGTGTGTGTGTGTGTGTGTATAATAGTACTGCTGATAATTATTTGTAGCTCAGGGTTGAACTTCAGGAAACTTGGTGCTCTCTGAGTATTATTCCTTGATTATACTAGATATGCAGAGTATATTTATATTTATAAGTGTCTTGTAATTTTTTTCTTTGCATCAAACAAACAGCTAGGTATGAAAAAATTTCAGTTCTCAGCTAGTTGATAATCCCACTGCCTGGAGGCCGTGTGGATCGGGATGGGGAGGAACAGGCTCAGACTCAACCCTTCCAAGACTGAGTGGCTGTGGCTCCTGATGGCCCGATATAGCCAGCTGACACCATCGCTGGCTATTGGAGGTGAGATCTTACCCTCTCAGAAAGGGCTCGCAACTTGGGCGTCCTCCTGGACTCACGGCTGTCCTTGGAGGATCATATGACGGCCGTGGCCAGGGGGGGCCTTTTATCAGGTTCGCCTGATCTCCCAGTTGCATCCCTTTCTAGATCGGGACGCCCTGCGCACAGTCACTCACACCCTTGTCACTTCCCAGCTGGACTATTGTAATGCTCTCTACATGGGGCTCCCCTTGAGGAGCACCTGGAGGCTCCAGCTGGTCCAGAATGCAGCCGCATGAGTAATAATGGGGGCGACTCATCGATCCCATATAACACCCATCTTGCTCAAGCTGCACTGGCTCCCGGTGGTCTTCCGGGTGCGCTTCAAGGTGTTGGTTACCACCTTTAAAGCGTTCCATGGCATAGGACCTGGTTATCTACAGGACCGCATTCTGCCACCGATTGCCTCCCACTGACCAATATGCTCCCACAGAGAGGGCCTCCTCAGGGTGCTGTCAGCCAAACAGTGTAGGCTGGCGACCCCCAGGGAGAGAGCCTTCTCTGTGGGGGCCCCGGCCCTATGGAATGAACTGCCCCGGACATATGAAGGATCTCCGACTTCCGTGCCTTCCGTCGCGCTCTGAAGACCCTATTATTCCAGCAAGCTGGACTGACAGGATAAAGGTTTTTTAAATTGGGTTTTGATAGGGGTTTTAAAATGATCTTAGTTGGATGTTTTAAATTTGGCCGAATGATTGAATTATTTTAATAAGCTTTTAATTTTTGTTGTACATTGTTTTTACCATGGCTGTTCACCGCCCTGAGTCCCTTGGGAGAAGGTCGGTATACAAATATAATAAACTAAACTAAACTAAACTAAACTAAAGAAGAAACCTAGATTTAAATCTCATAGTATTTAAATACATAGTATTGGGCTGAATTTTTATTATTGATAAGGTGACAGTTCCACTGTTTCAACTGCATAATGGTCTGTTTCTTTGAAGAAATCATACTCATACAACCCCAAATATAAATATACAGATACTTGTCTTCCTTGTGTATAAGTGGCTTCTTGGGTGCCAGGGGAAAGTCATCATTTAGCTTTTACTATTCAAAATCAAGCACCTCTATGGGAAACATTGAGTAGTACTGCGTATAGTATAAAAAATTCACCCTGCGCCATTGGAGAATTCCAGCTACTCAGATTAGGAAGGACAAAAAATAAACCAATTGCTTATGTTCCAGATTAATTTAATAATCTTCTAAGATTTTTAGAAGAATCTTACTTCTTCTAAGTAACAGGCTGCTTACTTTTGGACTTTTTTTTTTTTTTTTTTGTAGTAGAAGTTGTCATTCTGCAAAAGGACTTTAGACAAATGAGTTAATTTTTTGTCTCCAAATAGGTTTATAGATTTTTTTTCTTCCTGGGATCTGTTAGAATCTATCCCACCCCCTCCTTTTTTTCTTTTTTTCATTTGTCTTTCATGCTCTCATTACAGGTATGCTTTGTGAATCTGGATGCAGGCAAAGCTGATTACAACAGTGAATTCATGAAACAGGCAAGTGTTCTTCTAAATACACATGCAGTAGGATTTATGTAGGAATAGATCCAACAGTATCCCCATGCAGCCTTGCAGCTCATGGTGTGACTTCAGTCAATCACTCTTCTGCACACAACTTATCTCACAGGATGTTTGTGGTGGAGAGAACAGTTAAGAAACCTCCTTAGGTATGTTGCTTTGAGCTTCTGAGATAAAAAATTGAACATGAATCCAATTAATTGTGAAATTCAATGCTCAAACACTATGACTGCTTGCTTCTCACATCTGGATTGTAGAAATTTCTGGATGGGTGAAATTGTGTGATCTCATAAAATCGCCATTTTAAAATTCATTTCCATTTACTATCAATGAGAAGTTCATTCTCAGTTCATTTTTGAGGATGTCAGCAGTCACACTTATTTTATATTTAATAGCAAGGCTATCTTAACAAATACGATACAGTCTGCCTCAAGATCATGATTTTTGTATTTCAGAGATTGGTCAATATCTCCCCAAATCTTCCAAAGTTTATTGCCTCAATGAATGTACAGCCACCAAAAGACAATGAAATTATTTTCCTGAGTGGATTAACTTCAGAAAATCTTCAGGCTGATTTTGAAGTGTCCGAGGTATGAACTTGTATGAATTAATCTTTAGAAATGCATTCATGCCCTGATCAATATTTTAGAAATATTATATATATATATATTTTCTCAGGTTTTCGCGGGTATTTGTATGTAGGTCTTGGTTATTCGGGTCTTATCCCACGTAAAATTGGAAGTGTCTTGGCGACGTTTCGACAAAGTCTCATTCGTCATCTTCAGGCTGGTGTTCTCGGCTTCGTGCTTCCAGGAGCCGAGCTCAGCCACACAGCCACACAGCCACACAGCTCCTGGAAGCACAAAGCCGAGAACACCAGCCTGAAGATGACAAATGAGACTTCGTCGAAACATCGCCAAGACACTTCCAATTTTACGTGGGAGAAGACCCGAATAACCAAAGACCTACATATATATATAGGCAATTTTTAATAAAATAGATTTTTGATCATATTATTTTTTTTTTAATTTTATGAATGGTTCTCACATAATGGAAGAGATTCAATTGTGAGTGCAAGTTTCTTTTCATGAAATAAAACATTAGATTCAACCTAATTATAAGTATAAGGACAAATACCGGGTACCACCACTCACCTACAGAAAATAAATAGCCAATTTGTAGCCATGTTGCTAATGTCTCCAGACCATGCACTGTTTGCATTTCTTTAAGTGTTCAAACTAATCCACAGTAGGCATTTTCAGAATATTTATAATCACAGGCATTCATCCATTGGCATCCATGTATGTACTATCAAAAGAGAAGGATTTAATTGGATGAGAACTAAATGGCTTTGTTATTATTCTGGAACTGTATCAGGGCTAATTATACTTAGAATCAGGTTCCTATTCTGGGCAGATGTATTTGAGCTGTCATCTTTCAAATTACATAATGTCTTTTGACCTTGAAACCAAAATGAATCTGAGAGTATAGTAAAGAACAGAATCTGACATCAAGTTTAACAAAATCATGCAAGCATATATAACCTGAACGTACTGGCTATTTATGTGATGCATATGTTCAGTGGAGCATACTCCTGAGTTTAGGATTATAGCTCTTCAAGTAGAATGTTCATCATCATATAAATTTTATGAATGTGATCTTTTTACCCAAGAAATAGATACGGAGGATCCCGGATCTGCGCACTTTCCGCCGTGCTCTTAAGACCCTCCTATTCCAGCAAGCCGGCCTGGCCTAATTTTCTCCCCTGTTTTAAAATTCTTTTAAATCGAAATTTTAATCTGTTTTAAATTATTGGGATTTTTAATTTTCTCGGACTAAATTATTTAATCTGGGTTTAATTATGTTTCTAACTTTTGTATCTATGTATTTTATTTTGTGCCTGTTCACCGCCCTGAGTCCTTCGGGAGTAGGGCGGTATATAAATTTAATAAAAATAAAAACAAAACAAAAACAAGAAATACCTTGGGAATGTGAAAAAAATGAATAAAATATTCCTTATTTTTATTTCATATTTCAATAATCTCTCTGTGTTGTTTCCTTCTTCCTCCTCCTCCCCTAGTGTTCTTGGCTGGCAGATATATGTCTTCTTCAGTGTGCAAGAGGAAACCAAAGGAAGAACACAAGCTGCATCATCTTTGAAATAAACAAGTTTCTGATTGGCCTGGAGCTCGTGCAGGAAAAGCAGCTGCACATAGAGGCTACCAGCTTGAAGCTAGAAGATGATACTAACTGCTCGGTCTCTTCAATAGAAGAAGATTTTCTCACAGCATCAGAACACTTTGAAGATGAGGATGATGAATATAAACAGGGTAAAATCTGGAGGTCTGAGTGTGGATTCATAACCATCTGTGTTACTTAGGAGCAGATGATTGAATGTGCAATCAAGCTGATATCCATTTTTAACATAGATACACCGTTTCAGGATTATCTATCCCTCCTACTCTTTTAGACCTTTCAACAGTGCAGCTATTAATTTTGTATTTGAGTGTCCTCCTTGCTCCTGATCAATCTCTTCTTGCTATCACCTTTCTCAAAATTAGAGTAAAGAGAGATAAAATTAGAGTCTTCACATAAAGCCCAGGGTATGACAATTTGAATCTGGTAATTTGTGCCTTGAGTGAGAATTCCGGGTTGATTTGTTCTATGATTCATTTCTCTGTTTTCTTGACTATCATCTCAAGAATCTTCTCTAACACCAAAGTTCAAAAGTGTCAATACTCTTTCTATCCTGTTTTTTTTTAAAGTCCAACTTTAATTTCAGAGAGCAATTCTGAACTTTCATAGGTACGGACATGTCATAGTATCTGAATATCTTCAGATGGTCTTCACTGCTATCTATTAACTGCTAGTCTGAGCATATTGGCTGACTGCTGGTTTATTTTTACGTAACATGGAAGGAGATTTTTAATAACCTGCAGGTCATTAAATAACATTCAAAATATCATCCATGAGAGAGACATACTACAGCATGATTTTCTCTCCTTTTCATCAGACTTGTAAATGCCACTAGTCTAACTGCTTTTGCAGGTTAATGTATTGTTTTTCTTTTGCAGGTGAGGAAAATCTGCATCTTGCAGCTGAATTCAAAAAGTACAGAGAAGGAGATTGTGAAGACTTGCATTGCAAAAAGGCCCAAGTGCCCTTTTTCCTGAAAGGTAGCTGCATTAGCCATGATAGCACAGCTTCTACTAGATCTTCAGAGTCATCTGAAGAAGAATATAATAGTGAAGCTGAAGACAATGTTTTAGAAACTGTAGATGAAGCCAATAAGCAGCTTAACTGGAAAGTTGGAAAGTATAATACAACTGGGAAATGTAAGCCACTCTCCAGCACTGATGATAAGAAGGACTTTGGCAAAAGTGATAACAACAAATCAGAAAATGTATGTTACACCATAACAACTAAGGAGGATGTAGTTTTATTGGATGAACTAGCTACAGGACAAAGAAGTCATTTGGACACGTTAAACTGTAGAGTTGAAAGAACACCTCATCCTCTCATTCAAAATGATCAGGCTCCTACAGGTCAGTTTGCTACAAATTTGGCAGAGTCTGTCCTGCAAGATGCATTCATTAGATTGTCTCAGTCAACTTTTACCAAAGAAACTGCTCTCGACATCTCTGTCAGTAACCCCTTAACTTCAACAGCATGTGGAACACAGAATGAAATGGCTTGCCGGTCATGGAATGCACTTCCAAAAATCGTTATTGTTCAGAGTCCAGATGGTTCTGATAAGTCTGAGTGGCCTGGGTCTAACTTTCCAAGCTTACATCCTTGGTCTGAAGTTGAACATTCTTCTGGTGCAGATTTTTTCCAAGACAATAGTCCCAGTAAAAGTACTCAGAGTCCTTTGGAGGTAGCTTTGGCTTGTGCAGCTACTGTCATTGGTACCATTTCAAGTCCACATGCTGCAGAAAAGCTTAGAGAACAGGAATCCCTGAACTCTGTAATGACTGTTGGTAATCGTGAAGTGGAGGAAAAAACTTCCCAAAGTACCAACAGTAATTGTAACTCTGTGAGTTATTCATTTCTACCTGACCTTTCAGACATGGCTCAGATGGCAAATGTAGTTGCTGTTCATGGACTTGGTGAAAAAAAAGATATATATCCTGTAACTTCAAGTGGACTCTTATCTGCAGCTGAGACATCAACAGCTGTTACGCTCCATTGTAGCATAGCCATTGGAAGCACTATGGAGAATCTGAACAATAGCATTGCACAAGTCTTGTTCAAAGAGGCATCTCTAGTATTAACCAGACCTCATGCATACAGAACTATGGGAGAATTTATGGAGTCTGTAAATGGAAAAATAGTTCAGGCTGCGACAAAGCCCTCTACTGCTCTCCTGGATGAAATCATTGTTGATGAACTTGCTCAGAATTTGTCCAATATTATTCTCAGGCATTCTGTGGAGGAAGTTAGAAAGAAACAACACTCAGAAAAGAACATAGATGCATGTTTAGAAAGCACACAAGATGTTTTTACTGCAACTGCAAATCAGCTTCTGTTTAATGTATTTTACTTCACTTGCAAGAAAATGAATGACATTACACAGCTTAATGAATGCTCAAATACTTTCATTCCAGATACGTTTAACAAACAGGTAATGGACTGCCAACCAAAAGAGACAAAAAATGATGTATTGCATCGGTCCTCAAGCTGCTCCAATAATAAGCTCACCAGTAATTTCCATGACAAGGATGGTCTATTAATGACAAATTTGGTGAACAATGTCAAAGAGGAAATTGTGCCAAATGCCTTGGAATCTCTATCTACAGTCAATGCTCAGAGTTCACTCTCCAGAAAAACATCTTCCAAGAAAAGGTATTTGAAAAGAATTACAAAAGAATGCTGCAGGCCCGTAAATCCGAATAGCAATTACATGAAGGCAGAACTATCTCCATTTAGCAGCAGAGAAAACCAGACATTAGGCAGTGAAGGCATACATGGCCTTCAAGAATTTCTAACTTCCAGTGTCTCCATAATAACAGAAAATCATGAAGAGCCCACATGTGATGCTGCGTGGCACAATGAAAGACAGCTTAGTGTACCTTTCTTGGGTAATCAAGGTATTCTGCCTACCCGACCTCTGGTATATTTGATGCATCCAGCAGATAAATACTGCATAACAGATTTTGCAGAAGAATTGGCAGAAACAGTGGTTTCCATGGCAACAGAAATTGCTGCCATTTGCCTTGATAATTCAAATGGCAAGCAGCCTTGGTTCTGTGCATGGCAAAGAGGAAGTGATTATTTGATGCCCCAGGCTCTGCCATGTCGATCTATGAAAAGGAAAAAGGAAACCCAAACCAGTGGATCAACTGTGAGAAAACATCGGCCACCTAGACTCAGTGAGATCAAAAGGAAAACCGATGAACATCCTGAATTAAAAGAATGGCTTATGAATAGGGTAGTGGATGACTCAATTAACCTTGATGACACCCTTGATTTGAGCACTAACTTTGCAAATGAAGCCGCTGCTAAAATTATGAATTTAGCTGAGTTTTCTGTGGCTGATAATGTATGGCAGAATCCAAGCCATCCTCAAAATAGGCTCCATTGTGACCGATGGAATAGAGTCAATGCATCCAGCTGTGAAAGCATTCCGGAGGAGGACTTGGATTCTAAAGGGTCTATAAATACTTTGGCTCTCATAAATACTTTAGGACAGTCAATAAGCAGGACTAGTTCAGTCTCCAAGCAATCTAGTTGTGAAAGCATTACAGATGAGTTTTCAAGGTTTATGGTCAACCAGATGGAAACTGAAGGCCGAGAGTTTGATTTATTACTTGACTACTATGCTGGGAAAAATGCCAATAATATTATAACATCTGCACTGCAGCAAGTCACCAAAAAGAATGGCCACCTCAATGTAAAGCCAAGTTGCCCATCCAAACAGTCAAGCACCGAAAGCATAACTGAAGAGTTTTATAGGTACATGTTAAGGGAAATTGAAAAAGAACATAAAGAAAAAGTATATTCTGCTAAGAATGCAAAGGAATGGAGCAGCAGCTTATTACTTCCCTCTCAACGATCATCTTTTTGTTTCAGGCAATCTTCAGTCCCTGACAACAGATCCTCAACATCTAGGCTAACAGTAAATATGCCCATTAAGGCAAATTCATTAGATGGCTTTTCTCGTAGTGGCCACGGAGATTCCTTAACTGTCTATCCAGTCAACACAGCGTCTTCTTCAGGACTCTGTAAATCAGATTCTTACCTGTACCAAAGATGTAGGACTGATCAGGTAACTGACATGCTCATTCATGAGACCTGGGCAAACTCCATTAAAGCTCTGATGTGCAAGAACAAAATAATTCTAGATAGCGGGGAGGTTGCCCAGCCTGAACAGCATCCACCACATGTTCAGCAATATGCACACAGGCTCGCTGCAAATATTGTTGAAAGTGGGAAAACTTTAATTGCCGTCCACCAAGATTCCACAAAGAAAGATCATGTCACAGAAAGCATCCATAGCCCATCAGGGATGCAAAACAACTCTAAACCATTTGGAGACAGAAGATACTTAGATGAGAAAGAACAGCAGGCCTCATTCCCTGGATTGTTTTCTATAAAACCCACGAGCTCATCTTCTTGCCTCAGGGAAGTGCCTTTAATCCAGATCGAAACAGATCAAAGACAACACCTTGATAATGCCTCAGAGCCTTTAAATGGAATTAATGTTACCTCTAGCAAAGCAAAAGAAGATCTACTCAAAGGGAAACCCATAGATGCTGATTCAGGACAACAGCTAATTTCCTCAAACAGCCATGGGTAAGTTTCATTCCCCAAAGAAGAATGTAAGGCTCCATGGCAGACAAATTAGTAGTGCACTAGCAGGAAAGCAAGAGGTAAAGAAGCAGCCTTGCCATTTTTTTCAACCTTGACTAAGCCCATAGTTTGTTTGGGCCATACTCCAAGATAGCAGGTAGAGTAGTGAGTGAGTGGGTTAAAAACATATAGGCAATTGAAAATGTAGCATTTTTACATAATTCAATATTTTAATAAATTTAATAAATGAATTTTCTTCTGCGCATGCCTCAAGATGGCGGTGGCCGAATGAGTTCCGTTTAGGGGGATGGAGTAGTTGCTGACGGGGTCTTCAGGAGCCATACTGACCACCTCCGGCTCCAGCCCCAGTGAGGGGAATGTCCGCCCTGCCTGCTGAGGGCTTCCTCGCCCTCCGGAATGCCAGGGCAGGGCTGGACTCGTTGTTTGGCGGCGCCGCGGGAGATGGGGCGATGGCCTTGCTACGACAGCTGTTTCCAGCTGTTCAGCGCCGGAAGAAGTGGAGGCTGAAGCGTTCAGCAGTGGTCGGTGGTTGTGCGGCAGCAGCTTGGAAGTGGCCCCTCGCCCCCCTGGGACCTCTGGGACGCTCTTTTTGGACGTTTTCGGGAGGCCCCGGGGTGCTTGGACAGCCTAGGGTGCCTAGTTGCAGGCTGGCGACCACGACGGCGGCGGCAGCTGTGGAGGCAATGGCGGCCACGGACCGGCCGGCCAGGGAAACAGCTTGCAGCAGGTGGATGGGGGAGATACGGATAGCTCTTGCCCTCAGGACTACCATCTGGCCTTTATTGACTGAGACCCCTACTGTGATTAGGGGTTGTGAGATCAGAGCTGTGACTGGGGGTTTGTGGAGATTTGGGGGTAGGAGAGGCGGGAGGCTGACCATGGTTTGGTTTATTGGTCGCCTTGGGTAGCCCCTCCTCCCCCCCTTCCCCCAGATATGGGTTTTGCTGTTTGGATTGGGTTTTGCTGTTTCGTTACTCCTACACTCGCCTCAGGGAAGATCTTGTGCTCGTGGTACTATTACCATCGTTATTAACATCTTTACAAACTGCTGGCCTTTTATCCGACCCCTAACTGGAAGAGAACTGGGCAAAATGGTACGCAGGTGCTAAGGGGGCAATTGTCATCCACCAAATGAAAGGATGGGCTTTTCTGACTCTATTGTCGGTGTCATCTGGCCCAGTCACTGTGAGAGGGTGACTGGGATAATTAGCCTCCGAATGTGGTGGGACGACACTGGCCCCTTCCATTGCCGTGAGAGGGCAGTGAAGCCCAGCTCCTGGTACGAAGAGCTACTCTTGACCCAGTACTATTGGACTATCTGGTGAAGCCCTGACCAGTTTACTCTCCACCTCTGTTTTTTGTGATGTTTAGGCTGCTGACCTTCTTGCGCTGCGAGACTTCCCCCTCTTGCAGGTTTGGCCCTCCTCACTATCGAGGGCCTACCTTGATGACGGATTTTGGAATCCCGAGAGGTGGCGTGTTGCAAAGAGGGGATTGTTTTTAGATAAGATTTTAAAGGGTTCTGGGAGGGGGGTGGGTTGTGTGGGTCTGGGGGAGAACCCGCGGGGGAGGAGGCCTGGTCCGGCTGAAGAGCGCGATATGGGAGGTGCGGGACTCAGGGTCAAGGAGGGGGTTAGAGCTTGTGCTATTGATGGACATTATATCAGTACTGTGGGTGGGAGGGGCAGATATAGCGGGAGCAGGGGGCCATATCATGTTATGGGAGCGTGCGCTCGCTGTCTTCGAGCGGTGGCGCGCTCCGGCCCCCAATGCTCCTCTCGTTCCCCAGGTTGCACAGATCCTCAGGCCCTGGGCCTTTGGCTGATGCAAGCAATGCCAGGTCCGTGGTAAATAAAGCCCACCTCATTTGTGATCTAGTTCAGGAGGGGAGAGCAGACCTGGCAGGTATTATGGAGACCTGGTTGGGCCAGGAGGCATGGTCCCCCTCGTTGAAATGTGCCCACCCAGTTTTCGCGCATTTCATCAGCCGAGGTCACAGGGGAGGGGCGGGGGATGGCTGTTCCTCAGATGGCCAGATGTGAGTCCCTCCTTGTGAAATGGGATCATGGGGTTCAAATGGGCTTGCTGGTTATGTACCTGGCTCCCTGCCACGTGGCGGCAGCCCTGCCCGAGCTGCTCAATCTTATAGCCGTGGTTGATATCCCCAGGCTTATGGTCATGGGGGATTTTAACCTGCCATCCGTCGGTGAGGTGTCTGAGATGGCTCGGGAGTTCAGCCATGGACCTGACCCATTTAGTTCATGGCCCTACTCACATGGGCGGAAACACGCTGGACCTGGTTTTTGTCTCTGGTCAGTGGTTGAGTGATCTTGAGATAGGGGATATAGTGATCGAGCCCTTGTCATGGTCAGATCACTCCCTCCTTCGCTTTGACCTTCGAACCACCACACCCCACCGCAGGGAGGTGGAACCGATGAGGTGGTTCCGCCCCAGGCACCTGATGGACCCAGATAGCTTCCAGATGGAGCTTGGGCCATTTCCTGAGGCTCTGGCTCACGGCTCGACTGAAGACCTAGTGGCGCCTGGGATAGGGCGGCCACTGGAGCTTTGAACCGGGTCGTGCCTTTGCGGCCTCTGACCCGGTGCCAGTCTCACCTGGCTCCTTGGTTCACTGAGGAGCTGAGGGAGATGAAGTGCTGGAAAAGACACCTGGAGAGCAGTTGGGGAGCCAGTCACTCTGAATCTGACCGAACACTGGTAAGGTCTTATATTAAGACCTACCTAGTGGCGATAAAAGCGGCAAAATGTAATTATTTTTCCGCTCTTATTGCATCATCAGATAATCGCCCGGCAGCCCTGTTTAGGGTGGCCCACTCCCTGCTCCACTAGGGAACGCGGGAGGACCCCTTGGAGGGTAGAGCCGAGGACTTTACACAGTATCGCTCAGATTCGGGAAAACCTGGACTATGACTGGGTAGATTCAGGGGGGATGATGGAGGCAGGTCTTGAGAATATTACCTGGGAAGAGTTTGATTCTGTGACTCCTGAAGACGTGGACAGGATAAAGGGTAGACTGAGCATGGCCACATATTTATTGGACCCGTGTCCCTCCTGGTTGGTGCTGGCCTCCCAGGAGGTTATGCGAGGCTGGCTCCAGGGGATTATTAATGCTTCCTTGAGTGAGGGTGTCTTCCCTGCTGCCTTGAAGGAGGCGGTAGTGAGGCCTCTCCTCAAGAAGCCTTCCCTGGACCCGGCAGTGTTGGCTAATTATCGTCCAGTCTCCAACCTTCGCTTCGTTGCAAAGGTTATTGAGAATGTGGTAGCGCGACAGCTTCCTCAGTACCTGGATGAATTGGCTTATCAAGATCCATTCCAGTCGGGCTTCAGGCCTGGGTACAGCATGGAGACGGCATTGGTCACATTGTTCGATGATCTCTGGAGGGCTCGGGACAGGGGTTGCTCCTCTGTCCTGGTCCTACTAGACCTCTCAGTGGCTTTTGATACCATCGATCATGGTATCATGCTGCATTGGTTGGAAGAGTTAGGGGTGGGGGGCACCGTGTTTCTCTCTGACCGGTCACAGTCTGTGTTGACAGGGGGGCAGAGGTCGACCCCAAGGCCCCTTGTATGTGGGGTGCCACAGGGGTCGGTCCTCTCGCCCCTTCTGTTCAACATTTATGTGAAGCTGCTGGGTGAGATCATCCGTGGTTTCAGGGTGAAGTACCATCAGTATGCTGATGACACTCAGCTGTACATCTCCACCCCAGATCACCCCAATGATGCCCTTGAAGTGATGTCCCGGTGCCTGGAGGCTGTACGGATCTGGGTGGGGAGAAACAGACTCAGGCTCAACCCATCCAAGACCAAGTGGCTGTGGTTTCCGACATCCCAATATAGTCAGTTGATGCCATCACTGACTATTGGGGGCGAGTCGTTGGCCCCCACGGAGAGGGCTCGCAACTTGGGTGTCCTCCTGGACTCATGGCTGTTTTTAAAAGAGCATTTGATGGCTGTGGCCGGGAGGACTTTTTATCAGATTCGCCTGATCCACCAGTTGCGTCCCTTTCTGGATCGGGACTCGTTATGCATGGTCACTCATGCCCTCGTCACTTCCTGCCTGGACTACTGTAATGCTCTCTACATGGGGCTCCCCTTGAGGAGCACCCGGAGGCTCCAACTGGTCCAGAATGCGGCCGCGCGGGTGGTTATGGGAGCGACGTGGCGCTCCCATGTGACTCTCCTCCTGCGCGAGCTGCACTAGCTCCCGGTGGTCTTCCGGGTGCGCTTCAAGGTCTTGGTTACCACCTTTAGAGCGCTCCATGGCTTAGGACCGGGGTATCTACGAGACCGCCTTCTGCCACCAATAGCCTCTCACCGACCAGTACACTCCCATAGAGAGGGTCTTCTCAGGGTGCCGTCAGTCAAACAATGTCGACTGGCGGCCCCCAGGGGGGGAGCCTTCTCTTTGGGGGCACCTGCCATCTGAAACGAGCTCCCCCCGGAGATACAGAGGATCCCGGATCTGCGTACTTTCCGCCGCGCCCTCAAAACATTCTTATTCCAGCAGGCTGGTCTGGCCTAACCTCCCTTTTTAATTGTTTTTAAATTGGTTTTATAATTGGGGTGTTTTAAATCTGGCCAATGTATTTAATGTATTTTAAAGGGTTTTTAACGTTTGTATTATGTATATTTTACTTTCTGGCTGTTCACTGCTCTGAGTCCTTCGGGAGTAAGGCGGTATATAAATTTAATTATAAATAAATAAATAAATAAATAAATAAATAAATAGATTTAAAATAACTACTCATGATTTGCTCTTTCATGCACTCACAACTCTGACCTACACAGATATACACATATATATCATCCTCATACATTCCTTCTTAGCCATAACAAAGTGATTTTAAAAAAGGGGAAATTGTGTATAATTAACACAATGGCAACTGAGAATATTGTATGCAGATACCTTGGGGAATTGTAGGCAGCCTAGTTCATCATCCACCAAACCAGCAATCTTGAATTTGAAAAGAGAAAACAGGATTTAAAAAACCTACAAAAATAAACTCTAGTATGAAGTATGAAGAACAAGGGATACATGAAGGGACAGAAGAAAGGGCATAATTAACAACTTGGATAGCTTAGAAATTAGGCAAAGAGAAGGAAACCAGTTCAAAAGAAAGGATGAAAATAGAGAAAATCCAAGAAACAGGATGAAGAATTTAAAAAAATGAAATACTTTGGTTTCTTGGTGGCTGCCTGATTATTAGCTAGCTCAGGAATGTCAAACTCGCAGCCCGTGGGCCGGATAAGTCACGTGCTGGCCACGCCCGGTTTAGCAAAGGGAGAAAAAGTCATGATACGTCACATGATAACGCTGTGACGGTGTGAGTTTCATACCCCTGAGCTAGCTTGTTGACTGTTGAGCATGGATACCAGAGCATATGCTGCTGCACACTCAAATCTTGGAACAGGTAGTCCTCGGTTTACCACCATTCGTTTAGTGATTGTTTGAACTTACAATGACACTGAAAAAAGTGAGTTATAACTGTTTTGCACACTTACCACCATTGCACCATTACCATGGTCATGTGATCAGAATTTAGGCACTTGGCAACTGGCATGTATTTCTGATAATTGCAGTGTCCGGGGTCATATGATTACCGTTACCATTTGCAACCTGAAGGTTACCATTTGTAACCTTCCCAGCCAGCTTCCAACAAACCAGGTCAATGGGGCAAGCCAGATTCATTTAACAACCACATGATTCACATAACTGCAGTGATTTGCTTAAGACTGACAGAAAAGATTGCACAATAGGGTGCATCTCACTTAGCCTCATTTAGCAATGGAAATTTTGGGCTCAGTTGTGGTCGTAAGTCGAGGACTACTTATTAATAATGCAGCATTTTTACTTCTTTCAATCTAATACTGGTGCCACAAAGATGAAAAGCAAAGTGACTTGTCTCAAGTCAGTATTCTTTTTCTCCTTTCCCCTCCTGTTCTAAACACAGCAGCAAGTGTACAGTGTCACTCCTCTCCTCATGTCTTTCCTGGCTGTGTCATTTTCCTATGTCCTTCCCCTCTTGTCTCACTGCTGCCAGTGCTTGTCTTCTTGCATAAAGAGCAGAAGGAAAATCTTGAGGAATCGGGCAGGAAGGTGGGCATTGGTGGGGAAAAATATAGGTGAGTTAGAAGGTCAGAGAAAGTTTTGAAGTCAAAACCAGATTATAGAGCACTGCTTTTTCTAGGAGAAATTCTGCTGCACCAACATCATCTTTGCTACTACATGGGATTTATGTGGAATCTGTTTGAATAGCAGAGGTATGTAGATGTAATTTAGGATCTACTTATAGATTGGGGCATTTGTTGTAAATTATAAAGGATTTCTGATTCATAGCCATTTAACAATGGCAGCAACAAAACGATTTTTCCCATTTAAATTAGATTGCAGTATAGAATTTCTTTTTGCAAACCATGTGATAAGAAAAATACTTTGAGGCTGACTTCATTTTACTTTTATATGGGATACTTTTTAAAATACTGGATATTGAAGCTTCCCAAATATACAGATAACTGGGCTAGAATTGAAGGTTCAAGTTATTTCAATCATGAAGAAATATATCATCCCACAAAAAACTTGGACACTTTATCAGTCTTTTCCAATTATTGTCATTGGTCTTACTAACTTACACAATAGGGCCCTTAACTGATCCTGAAAACATTTATATGTTTTCATGGAAAAGGGACAGATTGTGTGATTGCCAGGCCCAGGAAAGCAGCTATAAAGAAAATTTTTGGAAATTGTGGCATTGCCGCTGAATAGTCCCATTATCTGATCACCACTCACCTCATATCAGATAGTGGATAAATAGATGAATTTATTACAATTGTTGACAGGTATTGACCTAGCAAGAAAAATCACATTGCTTAAAACTCTTAATTATATTCTTTTCCTAATCATCTGTTCTTTCTCCCATTTTCCCTGTCCTTGAAGCAAACTGTAGTTTAATTTTGCTCCTCAACAGATGGAAAAGGTGATTCATTTGTCTGGGAGCAGAAGGGAATGGAATTATAGGTGGTATACAGTGGTACCAACTGCAGACTGCAATCCTTACAAGAGAGAATACCATTTTAGTTTTTCTCATAAAATATATGGTAACAGATGCATCTTCAAAGAAGGCAGTATAAATTGCATTAAGGTCTGATGATTCCATGACTGCTACAAGGGTGTTGACAATTGGAATTATTTCAGTTGTAAGAATTATAGGATAGTCTTGTTTCATCAGGAACATCTTTTCTTTTATCAATCAGTTTGACAGTGTGTAGCTGCCCTGAATCTGAAGCCTCTGTGGACAATACAGCAGTGGAAGAGTTTCCAGTCCCTCTTAGCAGCAGTGAAGAAAGTACATGTAGCAGCTGGTGCCAGCTGGCAAACAATCCTGATGATACAAGCAGCTATTTGCAACTCAGCGAGAGATCTATGAGGTAACCTTGTGCTCTTCAAGCTATAAACTGCATAAATGTTTGGCTTGTGGTTTTCTCAAAATGAATTCTGCAAAAAGAGGTTTAGCTTTCATACTGGGTTCCAGGAGACCTCATTATAGCTTTGGAAATAATGCAAAATAATAATAATAATAATAATAATAATAATAATAATAATAATAATAATTTTAAAAAATTCTAAATTTGCCGGACTTGAACATTTTGACTCTACAAAAAACCACCTTACTCGGAACAGCTTATATCCTCCGACGATACCTTAACAGTTCCTAGGTCCTTGGTTAGGACTCGAGCTGCTGAGCTATTAACCAGCCTCAAAGGCTGTGAATCTCATTAAATATTAACCAATAATAATAATAAATTGTAATCCAACCCAAAGCAATTGTTTTCCATTCCCATAAGAAAAACACTAAGGGACAAGCTAATTGGTCAATCAAGCTCATTTTTTTCCCATTCCATATTGCTGACACATATATTATTTGGGTGACTTGCACATTGCTCTCCTGTACCAAGTTCTCATTCATCATTAGGGTAGAAATCTAAGTAGAAAAGTCTGGAGGACATATGACTATTTAAAGCACCTTTTTTCTGTCATGAACTTCAGACTTATTACATGACTGGGAGTATCAAGGACAAAGTTTCAGGATATGTGTAGATCTACATAGCTTTATTAGGCCTGAATAGCCAGTCTATAAAGGAAAAAAATAACTTGAATAATCTATTCCTTTTACAGATATTTCATTCTATGGCTCATTCACATTTTCTAAATGCTTACATCTAACCCTGTGCTGACATAGATACCAAGCAAAGTAGATAAATTCCCAACTGTTTTAAGACTTTTCTCTTCATAAAAATAATTTGCCATTGCACTCTTGGATCGTTTGTCCAACAAGATTGATAATTTGTATTAAGAGACTATTATTGTTTTCAGTGTTCACATTATGTGGCTCAGTGCTGCCAAAGCAATCAAGTATTTGGAGCTGCAGATTGATATAAGATGTCACACTGCCAAATTATTTTGTAAGAAGTTTCTGAGTTTGTGGAAAGATATTTAAAGGGATTACAATGCGATCAGACTTAAAGTAGAGGCATTTAGAATGTAAACTTGCTAAATACTTCATCATTGCAATATCAACTGATAATTGGAACATAAATAAACCAATCATCATTGATCCAATATCATTAAGCGTTCATATCGCCTGTCAGCAATTCAAAGCAATACCTTTTAAATGTTACACCTCACACATTTGCTGTTAATATCAGTTGGTTCATATGCAGGCATACATCACCTTATAAAAAGGATAATTTGCTATCCTGGGCTGAAAACACATTTCCATTTCAAAACACATACTTCAGATTTAGTTCTTTCTTTAGTAGTACTTAATATCACTAAATATATACCTACTGCAACAGTTTCCCTTGCTTTTTTCCCTTATTTTTTTGCTCTGTTAATAATGGTTTGCTGAGCAAAGAACTACATGCCCTCATTCTGACAAATAGAAAAGTAGCAGTTCTGCCTGTCACTTTGGGTTAACATTGTGTTCAAGTGCGTATTGGGGCAGACTAGCATTAATATTAACATTTTTGCATTGTCAGCAATGGCAACAGCAGTACCTCTAGCAGTCTTGGCATTATGGATCTGGAAATTTATCAGGAAAACATACCATCTTCTCATGCATTTAAGTAAGTAGCTGTTTGGGTATGGGAGTCATCCTACAGAAACACCATTTCATTTTAATATAAAAAATTCACAGTGTGTACAGTGTGGCAAACTTTTCCAAAGCTTCATAGTTTATCTTGATGCTTTCCAGTTGCTGTTTTTCAAGTAGCAATATAACCCTATAGTTGCTTATTACAAGTTTGATAATTACTGTTTAATAAAAATGTCTAGCTTTCACACAAATATTACAATGCATTACAAAGTGCAAATTAACTTTCTGTCCTTATATTAAATAAGTTTGCATATACAAATTCATGTCTACAGTTCATGTATATTTTCCCTCCCAAGCCTTATCGTAATATTTAAGGGTACATAGCTACTTTTGTTTTTGTTGGAGCTGTCGACAGTAATTCATGTAAATGCTTTTATCTAGCAACACATTTTTGTTTATTTTGAAGACTGATACTCTTACAGCCCCAAGTCCTGCACTTGGCAGGTAGCAAACAAGCATTAACACATTTCCACTCATTTTATTAGCTCAAACAGCAAACAATACGAGGGATTGTAAATTAAATAGCAAAAGATATGCAGAGAAAGAATATCACATTTGTAACTTACTGTAGCTGAAGTTTAAGTACCGTATTTTTTGGAGTATAAGACACACCTTAGTTTGTGGGAAGGAAAATAGGGGGGAAAAAATTCTGCCTTCCAGGTATTCATCTGATTAGTGTCCTTAGCCTGGTCAGCTTCAGCACATTAGTTCGCTGGTTGTGAGTGTGCGCATTCACAACCAGCGCTGAGCTTAAGCTTGGGAGAAATTCAAATTAACTTTAACAAACTAGAAAAAAATAGTTGAAAATAGCAAAATGAAATTTAGTTCCTCATTTAGGAAAATCAGATGCATTGGAATAGGGTGGTGGATACCTGATTTGGCAAAGATGCTTATGAAACTTATACTGGAGATGTACTTGACTGCAAATTGATTATGGACTGGACTATGATATGGTTGAAAATAAAAGCAACTGCCACTTTGTTAATTATATTAAAAAAAGTATGATCTCCAAATATTGGGAAGTAATAATTCTTTATATTGCTTTTGTCAAGTTTGTCCATTCTGAGGACAACTAATAGCCCACCTCTGCATTTCAACCTCTATGTAATGCATTGCATTCATTTCATTGAGGATATCTCTTAGCAACAAATTAGGCTTGTTCAGAACAGATTCAATTAAGATGAAGAGAAGCTGTAAATTTCAAAATGAAAAGATAATTAACATGGTGCATATTTTAAACATATTTTCTTGTTTGAGTTTATTTCTATTACATTTGTCTAAAAGCATTAAAGCTCTGAACAGGTATGTGAAATATGCTTATATAATCTAAATCTGGAAAACTGAACCATTTATCAATACATGCGCAATATTTATCACAAAAATAAAAATATACTGTTGTTTTATACAAATGTCTTCCAGTATCTCAATTTTGGAACCTCTTTACATTCCAATAACCATATCCTATATATATTTAGTGTGCAGTTCTAAAAGACAGACATGTTCAAGTCCAATTTCATTCAATCAAATCCAAATATGCAAATGAATGAAGACAAAGCAGAAACACCTCTATGCATCTTTCTGAATGCAAAAATGGGACATTTATGTTTAATTTATGTTTTTAAATAAACACAATATTGAATATTGAATTCAGTTGATAAAAGTTTAATGCAATGAACATTTTTGAGTAGTATTGCAGAAATTAATGATCTTAAAAATCCCATGTGCCTTAACAATCAGTGTTCAAATCCATAATACCCATTTCTTCTATAAAGGCATAGCATGGAATTAATGACTGAGGTTCAAAAACTGGGCAAGCATGCAAGCTTCTGCCTTCTGCTACCCCACCTACCGTGCTGACTCATGGATTTGAGGCTACCTTGAGTTTTGTTCTAGATTTGCTGAGCATTTCTTTAAATGCTTGGTAGTACAGTGGTCTAAGGCACCCTGTTATTAAGCTGGTTATTAAGACCAGCTGCCTGCAATTACTGTAGGTTCGAATCTCGCCAAGGCTCAAGGTTGACTCAGCCTTCCATCCTTTCTAAGGTAGGTAAATTGAGGACCCAGTTGTGGGGGCAATAAGCTGACTTTGTATAAATATACAAAAGGATGAAGGCTATTGCTGAGCACATTGTTAGCCGCCCTGAGTCTCCGGAGAAGGGCGGCATATAACTCAAATTAAAATATATATATATATATTTAAAATCTGAATCAGAAGGCCTCTGTTTGGTAGAAAAAAGTAACTGAAGAGAGTCTAGATGTGCCTCCCTTGGCAAGGAATTATGAAGGCTGGTGCAAAACGCAAAAAAAGCATCTATCATTCCTATCATTGCTTTATCAGTAGGTTTCTGTTAGCATAGTTCATAATAAAACCATTACTTTTCTTGATCTATCTGAAGTAATCACAGATTCATGAAAGAATGAATATGTAGTAAGAGCCAAAGTTCCTTTTAAACATTGTTTTTTGTTTTTGTTTCTTAAAGTGATTTAACAGAAGGAGGAGTTTTCTGTGAGAAACTACCAGAAAAGATAGAAGGTAAGTCATACATTATAAAACGAGGCAGGGGAATTTTCTTCTTAAGCATCTGTCTCATGAAATTAAAGAGGAAAAAACATACTTTCACTTTTTAGCAGGCACGTCTGGGTTGACTGTTGAAACTACTAATGAGCAGAAAGATCTCTTGGTGATAAACGTGGATCTGGAACCAGAATATCCTGATGCAGAATTGCGTGCTACACTTCAATGGATTGCTGCATCGGAGTTTGGCATACCCATGATCTATTTTAAGAAATCTCAGGAACACAGAATTGAAAAGGTAGTTGTGAATGGTTGGATAGATTCCACTGTTTAATATACCATCACCGCCAGAGGTGGGTTTCACATAGTATCACCAGTTCACCATGCACGCACACTCTCGCTTTGCACGCAGCATGCCTTTCGCCCATGCGCCCGGCCTCAAAAATGTGGCTAAATAGGACAGTATTACACTGGGGTGGGTGGGTGGACACACCCACAGTCGCCATTACCAGTTCACCCAAACTACTCCAAACCGGCTGAATACCCACCACTGATCACCGCTTTCTATGGTAGGCAATAGTGTACAAGCAAGAAAATATATAAAATAAAATACCAAACCCAATTTCCAGCTATTAATGTACTCAAAAGGATATCCTGTGTATCATTCAGTAGAACAGCTTTAATAATCTTTAATCTTTAATAATCTGGGAAAGGCAAGGGGGACTAAGAGCGGTCTGTGTGTGAGAAATTCAGCATGTTCAGCATGGGGACAGCTACCGAGAGAGTATATTGTTTGCTTCCTAGTCCAGAGGCTTCATATCAGGTGGCAGCTCTCATCAATCCTTTCCAGAAGAATATATGGGACAAACAAGATCTTGACAGGAGTCATAGTTTTATAAATATCCAGGAGCTAAATCATGATGGGTAATCAGAATGAGATTACAGTATTTAGAGACAAATGTCACTTTTTCAGACAGAAAATTGCAATAACAAAAAAAAAATGGATTTTTGTCTTCTTACAGTAAAAAAAAAAAATTGGCTTTTGCCATTGAGATACTGTAATTTTGTTGCATCTTTATGCCATCATTTCTGTAAGCTGCTCCAAGTAGTATATACACAAAATCTTTTTGTCTTCACACTGCTCTAAGTAAGATCAAGAGATTATGACATATTAATTCTGTACCATGTGTTCCGGGGATAATTGGGGATTTAAAGCCAAACATCTTGTATCTAAGCCTGTGCATTACCTTTCATTGATTCATATTATGAAATGTGTTTGATTCATGCCCACACAAGATAGCAGTCCAGAAACTGACAGTATTACAATTCACATGCTACTCGGTTAAAAGTTATTTCCACTACCACCACCACAATAAAAATCTGTTCATTCACAACTGTAAGAAACAATCATGTCTGTAAATAAGGCCTAGATTTACAGTAGTGAGTCAAGCAGGTAAATGTAAAGTGATAGCTTACATAAAATAGGTGTTACAAGTTTTACATATATTCTACTCCCTCTTACCTAATCCCCTTTGGTAGCTTGGAACAACTCACTTCAGAATCAGCAGCATTATCTTTGGAAGGCATTGTAGAAGCTGAGGTCCACTCCAAAGCTCATGGTGTAAATAGGTTGCTTCTACAATACACACCAGTGTTGCATAAATAGTGGGAAGTATATCATTGCTATAATAATATAGCTGCAAAAATGATAGGAATCTGCAGAACCAAATAATCAAGTGACCCTTCAATACAGCTGACTTACTGTTAGGTATTTAGGGGGAAGTACCATTTGAGAAACTTAAAATATTATTTAAATGCAGATTCAGTAACAACTTCCCAAATTCTATCACAGAAACAGCTGACAGCTTTGTAAATAGTTGAATCAATTACTAAAACCTATGTGAGAAAGATGAAATGCATTAAGTCTGCAAGCTAGTTTTTGGAAATCTACTTGCTAGTTTAACATATTTAAATGTGTGTTTAAAGTTAGAATACCATACTCTGATAGCAAATAGTCCAGAAAAGCAATGAGAAAAAGAAGAGCAATTAGATATTGATTGCAAAATGAAAGAATATAAGAAAAATATTTCTAACCCCAAAGAAAAGTAGTATATGATGTAATGTAGCATAGCACGGTGCAATGTGACTAGTAATACCACTGTCTGAAGTGAAAAGAAAATGTCAGAAGCTCTGTTGAGGCATATTAGAGTAAAACATACTTCTCTAGGATTTTGTGCTGCTCTAAGATTGAAATAGAGATCCAGTACTGGATGTTTTAATTTCCACTGACAGAGACATTTGAGCTGTTTTAGAAACCTATAACCCAGTTGTCCTCAGAGTCAGTTATGGGGAAAACAGTACATACCTTTTATTTTTACAATTTACTTTTAAATAGTGTTTTCATTTCTACCAAGTGTCTCTTAATTCTTTAGTAAACGTATGTGGATTATTTGATTTGTCATTAATCATTAGCTGAGTGATCAGTAGCAACATGTGAATCAGCACAATGGATGTGGCTATCAGTCTGCAGTCAATGACTTAGGCCAGTTCCTACATGCACAACATTTGGTACAGCTGTTTTCACTAATTAAACTGTGAATTAATGTGTATTAGTTTAGATCTCTTAGCTTGAAATGAAAAAGGAAAAAACAAAACCTTGTCTAAAAATTGTTTTTTTTTTCTTCCAGTTTTTAGATGTTGTGCAGTTTGTGCACCAGAAGTGCTGGAAAGTGGGTGATATCTTTCATGCTGTGGTACAATTTTGCAAGCTCCATGAAGAAAGTAAAGGGCCAACTCTGAGCCTCTTTGACTGGCTTCTTGAGCTAGGATAAAAACCTTATGAAAGATATTGTTTGCATTTTTATTCCATTTTTAGCGGCAGTGATCTGTGAGTGGCCGTTTTATTCAAAATCTCAACATAGAGCTGAAAAGTATCCATTCTGCTGCTACGTCATGACCGTTCCAAAGCAGTGCAAAGAAGGGAAGTGAGGAGGGAGGACAGGGCAGAAAGAGAGAAGTGAAGAGCCAATGTAAAATATTACTGCATGAAGGACTTCGTAATTTTGAATGCATTGCTCTTGAAAAGAAAAGGATATGCAGTTAAATGACTGTGGGTTTTTTTTTTAACAAAATCTAAATGAAAAAAACATTTTCCATAATCTGCCAGCTACGTATTAACTGCTAACTGGAATCCCAGTAACAAAATTCAGTTTTTTTATTTAAAAAACTTTGTATTTATAAAGGCACTTCAAATGCCTAATGATTATACAGTGACAAATGAATTCATATCAGATGTTCTTAAATGAATTCTATATTGTTCTGCTTTCAATCTATTCCCAAAGATTCCCAAGGAGCAAATTAAGGTCTATGCTGACACTGCATTGAAAAGCCTAAAAGTCATTCCACAAGTGTGTCCATTCTGCTGAAAGAATTAAGCCCAACAGCTTTTTAAATGAGTTATTAAAACTCATGTTCAATGAGTATAATGCTGGTCTGTCCTTTAGTAGAATCGAGTGTCACTGGGAATTCTAGACAACTGCCTGAATGGCCATTGTCAAAATATTAGCGTTTCCCAGTTTTAACAATGACTCATATGCTTTATAAAATTATTTCCAATCTCTGAATAAATAATAGAAACATGTACTCTGAGTAAGTTTGCAGTGGGTTCAGTCAGGAATTAAATAGTCATTTAACTCCAAAAGTAAAATAAGCTCAATTAGGCCAACCTGGAAAATAATGGCTTTCCATTATGCCTTAATAAGAAGATTGTACTGATGAAATATTTAATACTATTATCAACAATTTATTTCTAAACATCTTTAAACTAATGTATCCTTTCATTGTAAATATTTGAAGTATAGAACATAAAGATTTTTCTTACAGAAAAATGTACTTGTCAAAAGCTAGTACCTTGCTACTCAGAAAAATAGTTCTCATCCTACTCAAACATTCTTTGTAACAGCTAAAGAATCTGATTTTAATATATACAGTAATCAAGGAAGTAAATTAGGTTGCAGTAAAAATAATCTTCAGCTTACTACCTGGTAAATAGCTCCAGTACAACTTGCCAATATCCATTGCTAGTAGTTTTCATTGTGGCCCTACTATGATATTGAATATTTATTTCACAAAAAGGGGTGCTTTTTACTACAGGATTATGATTTTAGAATGTATCCAAAAATAACATTATTTTGCACTATTTTAGAAGCAATTTTTAATTCAATATAGAGAGCCATAATTACCACCATTTCCCAATCATGACTGCCCTTTCTTATATGTACAGCAAAGATATTGCGAGCATTTCTATCAATTTAAGTAGCTTTAGGAAAATAATCATTCTACAGTGCATGTAGAAAAGTAAAGAATACCATTGTTTATAGAAGAATTTTGGATTAGCACCTTGGTCTGCTTTGGAAAAGTGCCATTTCCTAAAAAGTTTATCAGTAAGTGTTTGCACTCAGAAATCAATAAAATAATACATCATTAGAGATTGCTATATTGTTGAAATATATTTATTTTTGACCAAATTAGTTGTGAATTACACAGATTTTGCAGTGGTAGAATAAATGTTTACAAGCACAAATAATATAACAATGTAACAATGTGATGACATTTCTCTGTGTATATTACGTTTTAGTACTGAAGCCTGACTTGAAATAAATTTGTGTTAACAATCTGCCTTTATCTTTCCTAAATCTGATTCTGAATATCCCTTGCATGTGATACAGATGAAATAAAACATTGTTGTACAACTATTTAGTGGGGGATATAAGTCCTGTACAAATCATTATCAGCAAGCTCAGACTACCAGTAAACCTAAAAGCCTATTAAATAATTGATACTTAGCCCTAATATAAGATGTAAAATTAAATTCATATAATCCTATATTCTGAGCCTATATCTATGCAAACAATATTTCCCTCACTTCTGATATGTGGAATTTTTGCTTGCAAATAGATACATTTTAGTAGCAGTTTAATAGTTTCATTTAATTTTTGTTTCTATAAACTTTCTGAATGTATGTACTACAGAAACAAATGAGGTTTCACCTTCCACATCTGGAAAGGTGCTATGTTTTATAAGGTAATAATACCTTATTAAAAATAGTGGTCCTTTGCTGTATTAGAGATTTCACCTGACTTTTTTAGCTTTCTTCATTGAAAGGAAACTATACATAGTGTAGAAGAAAGTTCAGATAAGCCAGCAACTTGATATTTTCAGAGCCATATAACAAAATCTAAAGATTCACACACATTTAACAACTAAGCTTTATGCCAGCATCTGGATATTTTGGAACACAATGATGCTTTGCTGACAGCAACAGTTCTTTAACACTATTCAAAACAGAAATGTAGAAAATCATTTCTAATGAATGATGGATCATAAATAATAATATCAACAAATTCTGGTTTATACAAGAATTATACAAGAGCCAACATAAACAACATTGCATGAACTTTGGGGCAGGCATTTTCCTGGACAGCCTGCTTGTTTAGAAGCCCAAATTAGCAGCAGATCAGATTAGAAGGCTCTGTAAAACCAACATCAAGTTCTTGAGAAGAAAGGCAGTTCACATTAAAAGAGAAGGCACGTGGGTTATGCTGTTTCAACACTACTATGACTCTCACAATTGAATGCCAAAATCAATGTAATCATTTTCATTTCAGCTTAAATCTTTCAGGATGGGACAAACCATAAATATAAACTATACTTTTTTAAAAAATCGAGAAATAGAATTATACAATATAAATTCAAAATTAAGTCAAAATATAAAATACGAATAGAACATTCCAATCAATACTACAATGTTATTTACATTATACATATTGAAATGTTTTATTAAATAAAAATTAAACCTTGTAAGGATAAAGTATCTAAATAAATGCAAGAATAACAACTAATAGTATGATGAAGCTTCCTCACTCCAACTAGCCTATTGATCTTTAGAGAAAAAAGGCATTTCTTATAATTTTCTCAATAACACATTTACATAACTAGCCAAGTTAATTATTACAATAAATCCAGAAAACATTTCTGCTTCATAAAGAATAAAAAAGACAGATACAAAAGCCATATTTTTAAAGGTTATTGTCTATATAAAAACACTGAATTAAAATTCCTAGAGAAGTGTGTCAGTCTTTGTCTCAATTAGCGCCATATCCTACATGTATTATCTTTGCTTCCTAAAAATAGAGAAGAATATAACATTAAGTGTTAAATCTTTTTTATAACCATATCTAAACAACAGTCTAAGGGTTTGTTTATTTGCTGTATCACTGAATTATTATGTTTATTTTATCTCAAGCACTATCCTTATTTTGCTTGCAATCAGTAATGCTTTTAATCTTAAGTAATTCACCACAGTTATTACTCTTTCTTTGAAAATTAATCTTGCTGGCTTTATACCTAAAAAGCCATTGTGCTATTCTAATTATAGAATAAATCATTATTTTCAGCCCAAATATCTTCAGTAAAAGCTCTCCGAAAGGATTAAAAAAAATCTTTACTTGAAATCTTGGCAACTCTGTTATATTCTGGAAATATGCTATAGTACTACACAGACTAATGGTCCAGATCAATATAAAGCAGTTTTATATACTATGGCTTTATAACAGTAAGCCAAAAAACAGACATTCATAAGATACAGCTTCCCACAATTATACTTTCAAGCTTGTATTGCTATTTTATATGTAATACAACTGTTAAAAATAAACCATAAAATGAGGCAATTACAATTCCTCATACATGGATTACAATTTTGAGTAGGCTAGCACTCAACGTTGTAATCCACAAATGGTTATATGATACAGTACCTCCACTAAGTTATGGCTTAATGTCTGGTCTAATTCAGATCACAGGCAAAAAAGACAAATGTGACTGGAATAATATTGCCTTCCCTAGTCTTCTCTTGTTGCAATGTTTAGCAATGTGCAGTAGTGACACTTCAGCTATTTCTGCTTAACCTTTTCATGGCAAAAGCGTAAGCAAATATTGAAATCTGAAAGTTGTTTTACTTCATCCTCACATAAGAGATGAGAAATGTAAATAGATCAATATCCTCCAAAACCCAACTAATTTAATCCTATATGTAATAATAATAATATAATAAGTTTATAATATAATAAGTTTCTGGACTAAGAAAAACTGGGAAACTCACATTGCTTTATTTTTATTCACCACTACCTGATAAAAAATTCAATTGAACTATAACAATTCCATTTCAGACTATGTACTAATTACCTGTAATAATTATATTCCCTTTGTAATTGAAAGCACAGGAAAATATCTCATCAATGTGGCCTTCCAATATTTGAATGCATTGTCCCGTCTTGGGCTCCCAAAGGCGAGCTGTCTTATCTGAACTGGCTGTAAGAATACAACTTCCTTGAGGATTGAAACAGATCTTTAAAAAAATGATAAAATACTTTTAAAAAATAGTTAAGAAAGTAGAATACTTTATTGTAGTTTGTCATCACTTCTACTCCTATTTTATGCATGCAGCCAAGTGGGTAGCTTTAAACTAGTCATGCTCTTTTAGCAAAAAGTTGATTTAGGGCACTGAAACAGAATGGCAAGTCACCAGCAACTGATTCACTGTCTTTTTTCTTAGAATGGTACATATAATTATTTTGCAAAATTAGAGAAGTAAAAAATGTAGAAATGATTATGAACTAATTTAAGATTAATTAAGTTGTAGATTTAATTATGAACTAATGGATTAAATGTATGCCAGAAAACATCAATTAGTGTTACCTAGATTGTTATAGTTGCATATCAAAGTAGCAAGTCATAGGTTGAAGATAGTTACATGTCACACCCAGTAAGTAGTAAAAATGAAAGAAGCAGATACGAGTTCTAGGAAAAAGTGTGCAATGTTCTGAATTAATATGATATGTGGAAACAGTTATAAACAGTTAATAGTAAGCAGTCTGTAGGTGACATGAATGGATGAATGAAAATGGGATGAGGCAGTACAAAAAAATGTGATTGGCCAGCCAAATGCTACAGATGACATTATTAGTAATGTTGCTTTGGACAATGTCTCTTTTTTTAGAATATATAGCTTAAGCATATTAATGTATACACAAGAAGAAAGGAATTTAAAAGCATGATCAATTTGATAGCATATACTGGAAGACTCAAGAATGATTAAAATTATTAACTGGTGATGCTTGATTTCTATTGTATTATATCCACCTGACCTGATATTCAAATAACTAGACAATAACAATTTGAGTGTCCTGAGAGCACTCTAACTTCAGGGCTCTAACTACAGTTAGAGTAGAGACACAAAGAAATAAAACTATATTTAGAATACAAAGACAAAGAAAAAACCTTTCTTGGTCATATTCAAATAAAAAAATATTTTATGAAAAATAAGCAGAACTGCCAAAGTTTGAGCTAGAACAGCAGTATGAAAGAATTTGAAACATGTAAACATTTTACCTTTGAAATTTCTCCTGTATGGCCTTCAAGTTTTGCAACACATTTTTTTGTTTCTGCATCATATACTCTCGCTGATCCTTTGGTAAAAAAAGAAGAATCTAAATAGCTTAATTAAATTTTTGATAAATATTAATAAATTCAAACAAAATTCTGATAAAAATAGAACCTATATACTGGATATGACTGACTAACAGTACTTTCCTAAACATGTTTATTTGCAAATAATATCGTTCAGTCTAGGGGGATTTACTTCTAAGAAACATGCATAATTTAGAGAGACCCCTGATGCTCTCTAGTCATTGAAAGAAACAAGTTGCAATGCAAACAAATAAAAAATCTATGATTGCTTTAAGGTGTGATTGTAAGTAACTTGGAAGTTTCTGAAGCTCTTTTGCTGATGAAATTTATGTCACAAAGTATGATAAAATATGTATTCAAATTTTATACTCTCATGAGAATGTTTGTATGTTGTCTGTATCTCAAACTTTGCCATTTGTGGACTACAGGTACCATTTGCGCTTCAGTTTGAGATGCAGACAACACAGACTCATCCCCACAGCTTGCGCCTGTGTTCAACAGTGAAGGACACAGGCAAAAAAAAACATCCTGCAGAAAGCACAGCTCCACAACACAGTCCTTTCAGCAGTTCCAAAAAGGTTCCACTCCCATTTGCACTATTCAGGTGACCCTAAGGACACAGAAAAACCTCGAAGTGACCTCAATGACTCTCTAAAAGAATGCAAATGGCCAGCTATCTGCCAGGAATATAAATCCTTCCATTCTCCACCATCCATCTGGAGCTGAAGAAGCTTCTTGGATGAGAAGCAAAACGTCTTCAAAGAAAAACAAGAAAGTCCAGTTGCCTCTTGAAAAAACACCTTTGGGAAGACCTGAACACTAAACTTTTCTGGAAGTTACTGGTATTGTCACTGAGGTTTTTTATATGATTAAGCCTACTCAAAAATCAAACTGCCTTCAAGGAAACATCTTACCAAAATACCTCTAATAATTTTTTTTCAGAAATCTCTACCTGCAGGCCAAAATATTTAATCATTAATAAGGTACAAAAGAATTTTTTAGAGTTTTTGCTATTTCTAGGAATACCTTCTGACAGAATGTAAAACAGGAGTGAAAAAATCATTTTAGTTTTTCAGAAATCCTCTTCACCTACCATCAGCTGAGGCACTTGCAATACGCTGGCCAGTATAATCAAAACAAACATCTAAAACTTCATCATCATGGCCTGTTAAGGTTGCCACCCGCTTGCCTGTCAAAGCATTCCAAAGCTGCAATGTTGAGAGAAAGCATTAAACAACCTATGCAAATAAATTCAGGCAATCAAAAACATTATCTTTTTATGTTATACTGGATTTTCATTGCAAGTATACCTAGCCTTTGATCTTTTCCTTTAAAAGAACATGTGTAAAGCAGAGTAAAAGATAGTTTCTATGACATAACAGCAATGTAAATTAGACATTTACTGAAATATTTTTTAATGTAAGATGCTCTTTTACAGAATTGTTAGGGACAGATTTAGTTTCCAGATTTCAATATATAGCTATGTTTCTTTTCCAGCCAGGTTGATATGTAGTGTATTATTCTTGCTGTTCCTACTCAGTTGACATGTGCTCAGAAATCACTTGATGTGGTAGTTCTAGAGTTTAGTCTTTGTACCAAAAGTATGACAATTATATTACTAAATGGCTGAACAAAAACGTGATTGTCTAGTCTGCCAGTACGGTATAGTCAATATGATCATGACTGTATTTTCAATATCTATATCCCGTATCTTATAATTGTGGCTCTGGCTGAAACATACAATTCTCCAAAGTTCTAGGGTACCTGGCTCATATCTCTAATTGTTTCTATTAGTGTCTTAACAGTTTATATGCTGTTAGCACATAATCTGAACTATAATTTTATAAGAATCATAGTTCAGATTAAGTAATATTCCATTGCTTGGATCTACATCTCAGAATCCCTGAAGAGAAATTAAAACGGTCAGACAAATCCAAAGAAGACATGGCCAACTGAAGCTTTTTACTGGATCAAATATTATAGGGGAGTAAATAAAACCTTTCCATATAAAAACTTATCATAACCTGCAATACACTATTGTACCATGCATGTTTTGTCCATAGATCCAGTGATGATCAGAGTACAGTCCCAGTTGAATTGTGTGCTGCTTATTTCTGCACGATGGCCTATTAAAGTATGCATTCTCCTGATGGGAAAGAAAATAAATTTCAAGTTAAATGGTAGTTTACATTGATATATATTAATCACAGATATCCTTGGAAAAAAATCTAGAGAAATGCTACAGCTAGTGCTATCCTTGATGTGTTTATTTAATAAGTATCACAAGAAGAAAGAGTTATATCCAAATAAATATGTACAAAAATGCAACCCTGGTATTAAAATATATTTTTCTCTACGAAAGCTTATGCAGTAAAGCCTACTGAGTAGTTTGCATTATATTTATTTTTTAAATGCATATCAGCATTTTATTGTTTTAAAATGTACAAGGTCACATAGTAAATATACTGTATAAATCAAGGAGACTATCATTTCTCCATTAGGGCCATAGCAATTATCTAAAGATTGTTACTGTTAGTTTGGCAAAATGATAACAAGCTTCCTATTACTTCAGCTTGGTTAGGTGATGCTATGAAAACACTCTATGCTTTAGGGGGGAAATGGCCTGAGCTGGCTTGTGTTACGTTTGAATAAGTTACACTTTAAAAGGCAAGCATTTCAGTTTTGAAATTTATCATGTTCTTGAATTATATTGTTCTTTAGGGAGATTATTTTATTAAAGAATAGGTCTAGAAAGCCCTTTTGGTATAATGGTTAAGGAGCCAGGTAAGACACCAGGAGACTGTAAGTTCTAGTCCTGCCTTAGGCATGAAACCAGTTGGGTGACCTTGAGCCAGTCACTGTCTCTCAGCCCAGGCAAAAAGGAATGGCTAACTCACTTCTGAAAATCCTTGCCAAGAAAACTGCAAAACTTTTCCAGGCAGCTATTGGGATTCAGTTCTGATTTAAAGGCACAAAAAGAAAAAAAATCCATAATTCTATAGCAAGTATTATTTTAAACCCCATGTCCAGGAAGGTAACACAACTTATATTTGTATAATATAAATAGATAATATAATAATATTAATAATAAATAATATAAATATATATTTGTAGCTCAGGGCTGAAATGAGGGGCCCTTGGTGCTCTCTGAGCTTGGCTGTTTTTTGTTTTTTTTTTGCAGATGTCTCATTCACCAGACTAGATAACATTATCAGTGCAGTTTTCCAAAAACAGATAATGCAGAGAAACCAAATGGTGGGACAATCAGATCTAGACTACAAATGTACAGGCAACTACCATATGGCAGCAAAGTTTCAATTTTCTGTATCTCTTTATTGCAATCTTATTGTGGCTAGATTTTTGTAGTCCAGATCTTGATGCAGCATACTTTCCAAACTAGTCAAGGAAAATAGGAAGTATTGGTAGTAAGAATAATATTCTGGATTTGGACAATTTACTGCTTATAAGGCTGACCAAGTATAGTTGAGACCTATTAACTATATGACTCTTCGTTTATGTAGTTATTTTCTACAAAGGCTGAAGAAGTTTTCTGAGATTTTGGATAGCACTAACCACTGATGGACTTTTCAACTCAATATAAAGACATTCTTGCACTACAATTATATACTAATTTTCCAAAAGCTACTTCAAATGTAGAATATGAAAGAATATGAATATTTTAAATAATTCAAATAACTAAAGTTGCATCACATGTTCTCCAAAATGCCTAACTTATGTAACATACTGGCATAGCAACTGCTTGGTTAATTTGTTGCTGTGGAGTCTCACAGTGAAATAATACACCTAGTTTTCATCTTTTGGGATTCAAAAAGTTTTATTTGCTTCAAATACAGAAAACATGTAAGCAAAACACAACATTGTTATAATATAGATATGAAAGATTTTGGAGTTTATGGAAATAAACTGGACATCAATTTATGCTTGTTAAACTAGCTGATACAAGCCAGAGTCTGCCTTAAAGATTACCAGATAATCCTAGATTATTTGGGCAATCTCTGGTTTGTTTTTGCCCTTTTCAGTTATATTTGTCATGCACCTATGTACATTGGAAAAATGGGAAACCAAATTAAACCATGGATCACTGTTTTTACATCATACTATGCCATAATGCAGACACAAAGCCAACTGCAAACAGTAATCTGAAAATATGGAAACCTGCCTTAAAACAAAAAATAGCTCTTTCATTGACTCTACTGTATAATGCATTAAACAAAAATGTATACAGAGCACATTATGAACTATATAATCCTAGCCTGTACAAAACAGGATTTCTGTAAAACATGACATAAAAAATATAAAATAGTACCTGCCCGTGCTAACATCCCATACTGCAACTGTATGGTCAAAAGAACCTGTGATGATTTTGTCTCCTGTGGTGTTAAACGATAACGCAATTATCTCTGCAGAATGTCCCTACATTTTTTATAAAAAAGAGAATTCCATTGAATTATTTATATATAAAGTAGTGGAAACTTTTTTTTTTCAGACATGAAATGAGGTAAAAGTAAATCAATGTAAAGGAAATCATATTGGAACCTGAGTGAAAAAATAAGTCACTGGCTTGTTATGACATATTAGGATTATAGTTCATAAAGCCTGACTGAAGTGTATACATGGGACAAACAATACAAAAACATGGGAAACTGGCAAAATATGAAGTGGAAGTAGGTTGGGAAAATTTGGTTTAAGATAGGTTGTGGATCTCATTTGATGAATTGGATTATCTCCAATCAACATGAATAATTCTAACAAGGAGTGGGCAGCTGCTACCAAATACAAGATGTAGTGGTTCATCAGAGCAAAAGTGGTAGAATCAACTTACAGAATGATTTGGACCCTGCCTGCCTGCTTCCTAATTGACTTTGCTCAGAAAACTGGTAAGGAAGGTTGCAAATGCCAATCATGTGACCACAGTTCTCTTAGATATTGTAATCACAAGCTGAGTGCCTGAGTGCCCAGATTGTGATCATCATATATCCGCAGGGATGCTACAATGGCCAAAACTTCATGGACCAGTTTTTCAGTGCTGCTTTAACTTTGAACAAATGGATATAAGGCAGTAGTGAAATCTGAACCGGTTTGCCACCGGTTTGCCAGCTGCGCATGCGTGCTGCGCACCAAGCGCATGCTGTGTGCGTGCATGCAAAGCGTGTGCCAAATGCACACCAAACGTGCGCTGTGCGCATACGCAGTGTGCACCAAAAGGAGGCTTGGAAAGGTAAGTAGAGCAGTGAGGGGGGGGGCAAAATCAGCTGTGCCGCGCAATTTAGATTAACTAGAAAGCAGGATTTACTGCTTTCTAGCGATTTTAAATCGTGCAGCACAGCTGATCATCGGAAATACCTGTTCGGAGGAACGGTAGCTTTTTTTTACACGAACTGGTCATTTTTATCATTACTGATTCGCCCGAACCGGTGTGAACTGGTAGCATTTCATCACTGATATAAGGCAATGGATATAAGGAACCTGTATTCTTTCAATAACTTTTATTTCATTTAAAACATAAGAAATCATACTATGCCTGCTACAACTATAAGTAACTGCAACGCACTGTTAATCTGACTACTTCTTCTCCATTCTGTATGTCCCATAGTCTAGCCGTAGTATCCATGCTTCCAGTTGCAACTAGTGTGCTTTGAAGATTAAATGACAAGCAAACCTGTAAGATAAAAGAGGGAAAGCAGATCTTTTTAGAAATCCTTAGCTTTCCTAACTTTCTTGCTGTCAGGCAGGTGATAGCACGACAGAATGCAATTCCTGATGATCTATGCCTTATTGATCACACAGGATTATAAATGGCAACAAAGATGCCATTTATAAAGATGTTTTTGTTTCATCAAGCCGGGCTGACCTGACCATACTTTTTAAATTGCTTTAATTTTAAATTGCTAAATTATGGGTTTTAATATGGGGGTGTTTTAACTGTGGGCCAAATTAATTTAATTGGTTTTTAATATTGTTTTAATTTTTGTATTTTCTGTATTTTATCTGCTGGCTGTTCACCGCCCTGACTCCTTTGGGAGAAGGACGGTATACAAATATAATAAACATAACAAGAAGATGAATCTGAGCCTAAAAATTCTCAGCCATCCAGTCTTGGAATGCTTGAGTCTGAGCTTGTTCCTCTCCATCCAGACCTGCCCAGCCTCCAGATATTTGACATTGATGGTATCACTTGAATAGCCCAGAATCAAGATGTACAACTGGATAAAATCAGCATATTGGTGAATCTCTGAAACTCTCAATCAATGGATGAGCTCTCCCAGCTGTTTCATGTGCATATTAAACAGGAGGGGAGAATGTAGCATGCTCGGAGACAAGGGGCTGAGGGTATTACTTCCGGGTCCTGCCAACACAAACTGGAACTGGCCAGAAGAAAGGAGAACCATTATAACACAATGCCTCCAACTCCCAAATCCTGCAGTCAGTCCAAACAGTACCATGCTCAACAATATCAATAACCCATTGAAAGATGAATGAGCACAAGGATGGATACATCACCCCATCCCAGGTCCACCAAAGGTCATCATTAAGTAATGCAGTCTCCATACTGAAACTTAGCATGAAACCTGACTGAAATGAATGCAGATAATCAGCTTCATTAAGTATTCTCAGAAACTGCAGTCCAATCATCTTTTGTCATTATTAGAAATCTATAATGCCTATAATGATTGAAAACTACTGTGTCCACAAAAAGCTTCTTGAGGAGGGGACACACTACCATTTCCTTTAAAGCCAAAGGAATGATCCCTTTTCTCAAAGAAGCTGATATCAGAGAATGGATCCTGCACTTCCTGGGCAGCTATAATAACCCAGGAAAAGCTCAGATCTAATAAGGAAGTGACCAAACTCAATTTGAAGTATCCTGGAAACCTTATCAGGAGTCACTCATGCTAAATAGCGTCTATACAAATGTACGGCTAGTCTCTATCTACTTTGATCTTTTCGAATTTCCGGGAAAAAAATAAATCATGACATACCCTGCAAAAACTATTGTTCATAATGGGTACCTGAATTCTAAAATTATGATAACAAGACAAAGCAATTTGCCAGGTGTGTACTTCATTTTAGAATTTGGGAGAAGATAGAAGAAAACAACTCTATGGTAACATAATAAGATATATGTGAGAGTGAGGTTTATTGATTTCTTGAAGGATTGAAATGCTTTAAGAAGCATGGAGCTGTTTCATGTTTTTATAACTCAATTCTCTCAAACATTATGCTGAATATAATACAGATTATGAGATAACACTGGGTATTTCTCATTAAAGTGATAAAGAACAGCACATGATTTTTCAACATCTTTCTACAAATCCTATTGAATTCTATTTGGTTTTAGTTCTGATTTATATAATTAAACCCACAATTTAATAGCTAGCAACTATATATCTTAACTGGGATTTCTGTGCAATGGTACCAAACATATGTCAAAATCAGTAAATGTAGAAACCGGTTAATATCATCAAATACACATTTGAGGAAGTACTAGTTAAGGAAGTAACTGCTGAATGAGTTTTTCTTAACAAATGAGGGCACATAAAGAACATATATATTTATAACCCAGAAGAATATATCTTATGAAATAGACTGTAATCGATGAAAGTTTATGTGACAATCAATTTCACAAGACCCTTAATTATTTTTGTTACTTCTCTGAAATTAGGAAAAGTTTTACTGGTTGACATAAGACTACAACTAATCCAAAAATACGAAGATACTCCTTAAATTATCCCTAATTAACAAATTATTGCTTATTGTTAAGCAATATCTGTTAATCTATTGAAGCAATAGATTGTTTAAGCAATATTTGTTAATCTATTGAAATAGATTAATAAATCTATTTCAGAGTATTTGTGAGAAACAACATGCATTAATATTAATTACTGATCTAATTTTGGTGAGATGTAGTGAATGTAGTCACTCCTTATGTTATGACGACCTCAGTTAGTGACCATTCACAAATATAAGTTGTAATAAAAGATTTATTTTCTGACCAATGCCTGCAACCAAATTCCAGGTGCCTGTCAAAAAAAGCCTTCCATATGCAACTGATTACGTTCTGGTCAGTTTCAGGAAGCAGCATTAACCAATGCAGGGTTCTAATCAAGTAATTAAAGTCTTCAACTTGTTAATTTATGGCACTTGGGGATATGCTGTTCTGCAGAGAAAAGCAGCTCTAGAGGAGACAGCTTGTTTAAGCAATCTCTCCACTCTGCAAATGATCAAAAATTTGGGCGGGGGGGGGGGCAGATTCATCTGAATGATAGGGCAGCAACCAATTATCTTTGCAACCTCTCTTTCCCTCTTCCTCTCTTTCTCAGTCATATGTTAACTGAACAACCATTTTGCTTAAAAACAAAATTGCTGGAATGGATTGCAGTCATTAAATGACGAGAGGGTATATACAACAATGAATGAAGAAGTTTGTAAGAACTGAAATTACTCCCTAATAGAAAAGGAAATGTTCAAGTCTAAAATGTATTGCATTCTAACTTACAACTGTTCTGAGCTTGAAGCAAGTTGTGTCACATTCGGAACACATTCAATGGGATTGGAACAGCTCATTTTAAAGTCAAGCTGTTTTACTCATTTCTGTTCTATATATACAGTGGTTACGTGCAACAAAAACTCCTTACTTACAATTTCTGCAGTATGTCCTCTAAAAGTATAATAGCATTTTCCTGTGTCTACACTCCATAATTTGCAGGTCTTATCAAATGATCCAGTAGCAATCTTGTCACTAAATAAATAGAAAAATGTTATTGTTTTAATTATTAACTCCAAATATTTGTTGATTTAACTTATATAGTGCCAAATCCCATAAGACTCCTAGCAACTAACAGCATTGCATCAAACAGAAGAGGAAACCAAAATAAAATTCAATGCAGATAATTAAAACTGGGGTATAAAAATACGCCTTTCAAATTAAGTTTGCAACATACCTTAGATCTGAAGACATGTACAACCATAGTGTATTTAGGATTTTGAAAAGTTACATACCCATAAGGATTATTGAAAGCAATTGCATACACCACATTTCTGTGGCCTTCCAGAGAACGTAACTCTTCTCCTGTTGCTGTATCCCATAGTTTGCATGTTCGGTCATAACTTCCAGTGATAAAGCTACAACAAACAAGTCCATTTTATATTTTCAGACCCATTTGTTCTCATCCACAAATTAACCCACTTCTGACTGAATTCAATGGCTACTAATTATTCTCATTCTCATATTTTTAAGTAATGCTGTATTGGCAAAGATTATAACAAATCTAAACATTATAACTCCAGGTTTGTTGAGAAGATTGCACGACCTCTATTGGTGTTGTAATAATAACACTGAACACAGTAGATCTAAGTATGGTTGTTTCAAAATTATTTTCCCAGAAGCCCTCTGACTTTACATACTCTGAGTCTGGCCCATCTTCGTGCCTTAGTGTACAAAGTTTGCTGTTATTGCTGCCTATCTTCAAGAGAGATGTTGTTACATGGTATATGGAAAACATAGACATCTCAAAGCCTAGAAACCCAATAGACAAACAGAGAGGAGAAAATAATGATAAAAATAAATACAATCTATAGCTCTATCTCCTAGGATGGTAGCAAGAGATGTATGACTAGGGAGAGAAGTCCTTGTACTCTAGAGAAAGATCAATCTCTTAGGTGTTAAATAAAAATGGAAAAAGATAATGTAAAACTTCTTTTTGCTTCTTTTTAGGAATCACATGTAAAACAATCAGTTTTGTTGAAGAAATGAACATACAAAGCTTCTAAAAATCACACCTAGTATCATAAATTTTCCACATAAAATTTAAGAAAGGAAGGAAAATTAGGATTATGGACAGATACAGCACAATTCTAAATTTAGAGGAATTTTGTTCGTCAAGTTCTAAGCTACAGTAATAGCACTCAATTTATTGAGCATGTACAGAGAACACAAATAACAGAAATGCCTGGGCCCAATGCATCTGTTTTCTCCTTTTTTCTGGGAGTTTTGACTTGGATTATTTTTCTTCAGAATAGGGAGAGGCTAGGAAGAATTTCCTAGCACACTTTCTTACACACTCACTACTAGTTATGAAGTATTACTAGTAAGAAATTGAAAAATGTCAAGGGCTTTTGTATATCTTTGTATTTTTGAATTGTTGAATAATGATACAATCTTATATATGTCTAGTAGGAGTTGTCCTGAATAAATAATTATTTGCAGCCTCAATAGCTTTGCAATCTGAAACCTGGATTTTAGTGGCAATTTGCTATTACATAAATATTAATAAAACATTCACCACAGCATAATTGAACTGAAAAAAGAATAAATTCAGCATTAAAATATGCTTTTCAAATGTTAACATTAATGGTTTTAAACATCATCTCAGTAAATGACATTTTTAAACTGGTAGATTATTAACTAGCAGCATTTCAAGGACTGGATAGAAAAAGCAGAACACTGGCTAAGGATAAGTATGTTTATTCAACGTCATTTTGCTATGTATTTTTTACTAAAACATTTTAATTGAGGTTTTTTCCTAATGTTGTTGCTACTGCTGTAATTTTGGCCTTGCATTCCCTACTGACCTTAATCAACTTTCTTTAGTTAAAACAATAGCACGGGAAAACATGGATTGTTAAATATACCAAATATAGTTTTAGTTTAGGCGTACCATTCCATTTAGATTACGGTACTTACTTTTAATTTAACTACATATCCAAACTTACCAAGAACCCGATTTGTTAAAGGCAACGTTGGTGAGTGGCAATATATGTGCTCGAAGTACCTGAAATTACAAAAATAGCAATGATTTATTATATTTCTGTACATTTTTGCCTTTGTAAATCCAGTTCCATAAATATATATTTATGGAACTGGCTAAGTATTAGCCTGGTGGCGCAGCAGACTAAAGCACTGTTATTAACATCAAGCTGTCTGCAATTACTGTAAGTTCAAATCTCACCAGGCTCAAGGTTGACTCAGCCTTCCATCCTTTCTAAGGTAGGTAAAATGAGGACCCAGATTGTGGGGGCAATAAGCTGACTTTGTATAAATATACAAAAGTATGAAGGCTATTGCTTAACACATTGTAAGCCTCCGAGTCTCCGGAGAAGGGCGGCATATAAATCAATTTTTTTAAAAAAATATTTGAAATATATGACTTGTTTCAAACAAAATTAAGTGTTTCACTGATTTGAATGCTTATTGATTTCAATGGCAGTCATATAAGTATGCACTTCATTTGAATTAAATGAGGATTAGGCTAGATTATGCTTAATTAAATTAAATCATCATGCCATAACAATATGCTCTATGTATGAAACACTCAAATGCCAATCAAGTTATGTTATAGCAGCTTGCTATTGAGCTGAGCACACACACACAAACACACAGATCACCCAGGAAACAGCTAAGAAAGACACAGCCATTTCATACCCATCCCGTGTCTCCATTAAGAGGTGTTATTGACAGTTACAAGGTGATATGAAGTGAAAATAGAAAACTAGTCTTATTTACACTTCTCTGTTCTTGACAAATAAGTGTCCAATGAATATATTTGCATGTCATTCCTTACTGAACTGTGGGGAGAGAGAGCCCCTATTTTTATCAATATAGAGGACATATTTTAAGCAGAACTTTTATTTCATATTAACTATATTCTGTATCTTGCATTTATGGAACAAAATGCATATAAATAACCTAGTTTTTTTTTTTATAAAAAAAGAAAAATTAAATTTGGATAATTGCTTCTTTGCTGCCAGATAGACTGATGAAAGATCATGTCATTTATAATAATTTTATCTTCACTGCCTGGTTTTGAATTATCTTATCAAAAAAAAAAAAAGGCCCTAAAAGAAGAAAGGCAATGTTCAAAGCTCTTTGAAAAAATGCTTAAAAGTTGTTTGAAAATTAAATTAAATTAAAAGATTGAAAAGCTAGGATATGAGACGGTTACCAATAGGAAGAACTTCTGCTGTGGCTATCTGAAAAATTCAGCATAAATAGTAACAGAACCTGGAGGAGTCAAGCATTTTTACCTGTCATTGAACAAACCAAAAGTTTCTGAAAAATTTTGTATCCAACTTATTCCACCTGTTCATTTTTTTAACCAATGGGAGAACCATGGTTCCTCAAATAGTTACTTATGCTTTTCTACAAAAAAACAATTTAGCCAAGTTCATATTTCATAATAGGGTATATATCTGTGAGATAATCAGCAAGAAAAAAAAACCTTTTAAGCCATAGCAGCCTGGTATTCTGTTACTGTTATATTGTACAATGAGACTTAAAAATTATAATATATTTGCATCCCATTTAAGAACAGGCATGACCGTCAGCTAGGATTCTGGACAGAACAAAATCTGTCCAGAATCCTAGAATTAATCCTGAATAAAAAATAGTAAAATATCCATATTTTTGGCAATTAAATGCCCATGTAAAACAGGCCTAAACCCTACCCTTAATTGATGATCCATAGATTTTTTTCTATTGCATTGGTGATACTAGTGAAGGTTCCCCCCCCCCCCCGCAATTTACAATTTAGATGACTAAATCATTTTTTCTATTCAACTGCCTAAAGTATCTTACTCTAGTACAAGTAGTATACCGTAATTGTTTTTATGCACCTATATTTCCTTTTTATATGCTATGTAATCACAACTTAGCACAAATATACTTTTAACTGTGCAGAACTTTTAGTAGTAACTTTAACTGTGCAGAAGCAGACAAGCTTACTGGACTTTTGCGAGATAGACAAGAATCGGGATTATATAGGAGCTGGGACAGGTGGTATGCTTGGCTGCAAAAAAAGAAATCTTAAGAAGAATGAAAATATTAACCTTAGTGTGAATGTGGGTAAATATTTATAGGAGCATTGCATGGCAATTGAGAATTTTTTTCTTCTGGATAAACTTTTCTTTCTTTTGATGAGTTGATGGTTTGTACTATCTCTAGGCGAAAATTGATACTTTAAAACTCTATATGTATTATATTACTCTCTGCAATTCTATCTATATTGCTATGCTTTTTTTTCTGTAATTTTTAATAATTTTCAATAAAAAATTTAAAAAAAGAAAAAAAAGAAACTTTTAACTCACTTTTCTTAAAGTACATTTGTTTTACCTACATTTCTGGCTGACAACAATTTGCATTGATTGGCGCCATATATCTCATGGCAGAGTCCAGCCACGGCATTTTAGGGAAATTCATAGCATTTTAAGATAAAAAAAATCTAGGGACATTTATATCTCTAGTACACATTTGATTCCAGTTGTTAATGGTTTATGGATCATAATACATCACTCACCCACTTAACCACTTAACTTAACATAGCAAAGCCATAAATAGCAGGCACTACAACTTATTTTCAAATTACATTGTCTCCCATTTCAAATCTTCCTTTTGGTTGAGGTATCTTGGAAGCACATGTCCTTCAGAGACTACTGTAGCTGGAATCAACTATTAGTCCATTTAGAATAGCTCAACACTGCCATCTGGCTTTGTCAATGAAATATTGCAATTTCAGAAAAGGAAAGAAATAGACCATTTATAAAATAGAAATTCTGTGAAAACTTTGATATATGTATTATTATTATTATTCCAACCCTTTAAAATATTTGGTCAACAAAACATAGAGAACATACTTAATACTCCTGCTTCCTATTTTCCCCCGTAATAACAACCTTGTGAGGTGTGTTTGGGATGAGAGACTGATCCAATGTCACCCAACTGGCTTTGATTCCTAAGGGAGCCTAGAACTCAGTCTCCTATTTTTAGGCTGGCATCTTAACTGCTACATCACACTGGCTGTCTATATAGTTTGCTTAGTTTTCAGTTTTACACGAAAACAGAAATAATTCACCATTGTCTTTTTTCATGATTTTCCATGAAATATAATCATGAGATTTTATAATATTGGGATGTTAAGGTGATTTCCTATTGAAATATTAAACAGGACAGTTTTTTAAAGATTGCCTAGATGTTGCCATCTTACCCAATAACTTAGCCTTCTAAATAGTTTCATTAACAGTTTAATAAATCTGTTTCTGCTCATTGTCTTGAATAGCCAATGATCTAGGGCAAGGGTGTCAAATGGGTGGCCCACGGGCCAGATACGTTACACACAGGCCACATCCACCCAAGCTCTGTGAATGGGAAAAACACCCCGAAACGTCACATGAGGGCAACGTGACACAGTGAGTTTAACACCTGTGGTCTAGGTCTTCTAAAAAAGCCCAATGTACTGTAATCATCTTTCTTCACCTTAATGCAGGAATGCACATTTTTATTCCAGTCAACAGTCATTATGTGTTTGAATGATATAACAGAGACACATTTCAGTGTGTAATAAGTGAGACCAGGACAATAGCTAATTTTCTTTTACTTTTATTTACATCTAATGAAAATGAAAAACGACTGATAAATTTATTCTCAAATCATTTGCTTCCTTTTATCACATTAAAAATTTCATAGTAACAGAAAACTTGCTGGAGATATCATTGGCCAGGGATCTACATTTGGTGGATCCCAGGAAATATGCCTTCTCTGCTATGGTGCCCACTTTACGGAACTTCCTTCTCCTCAAAATTACATTGATCCTCATCCCTTTTGAGATTCCTTAAAGTCCTCAGTACCTGCTTATGTGGCCGAGCCTGGAGCTCCCATGGAACTGGAGATTTGGCTAGATGGTTCCACTGTTGAAAGGGGGGGGGGATTTCTTATTACCCTCCATTTTGATTGTATTTTGGATTTTTAAAGATATTACTAGAATTTTTCAAATTTATATTCATTGTTTTATATTTTTCATCTATTGTTGTGCACCACCCAAAGTGAGTGAAATGGGTGGCTATATAAATTAGATAGATAGATAGATAGATAGATAGATAGATAGATAGATAGATAGATGAGACAGATAAGACAATCTTTTGGAGGCATCTGTTGGCCATAGCCAAGAATTTCCAGCCTCAGACTATTTACCTGTGGCTTTGCGGATCGCAGTACTGTAGCTGAAATTTTGATTTTTTTTTCAGAATGAAAATGAAGGAATCAAAGATTACATATCTATATACCTCACCCACAAAAAAGTAGAAATTAAAGGATCAAGTAAGGTTTGCAATGAAGAGTTGCAATGCAGTTCACTTTTTAAATAGAGTGCTGATGTTCACTTCTCCATTTTATTTTGTTTCCTTATATTGGCACTCACAAACAGAAAGAAAGAAAGATAGGAAACAATGTTTCAAAATATAAAGATTCTTTATTGCATGACTAAAAAAATACCTCATGACTCTTACCTTAAAAAGATAGAACTTGTGGTCCACTTGTTGTCCTAGCTTCTCTTGTAATCGTAGAATTAAATGTACAACCTGATCTTTCCGTGACTGTGTGATGAGAGGCTCTGCTTTTCTAATATCTTCTACTAAGGCTTCTACATCAGTTCTAAAGTACATTTTAAAACACAGTTTTCATCTTCTGACAAATGAAGAGTTAAATAATTGTTCCTATTATCAACATCCATCATGCCAGTGTTGGTTTCTCTGGGAATGATGGAAGCTGCAGTAAATAATTTAAAAATTAAAGTAAACTGAAAAATTATAACACCCAGATTATAATCACAAATTTGAAGTTGAGTAAGACATGCTTGTTTAACATATAGAAGTTCAGTTCTATATGTTATTTCAGCAGCAGTTTACAAAATATAAATATAAAAATGAATTATGCATAGTTGCAATGTTTTATAGCATTCATTCAATCCTTTAGCAATCTGATCAGTGGATTTCTAAATTTATTTCTAAATTTAAATAAAGTAATGTGTCAGACTCCACATATGATGATATGGTGGTGGTGGAAGAATTCTATAGTGCATTCTTAAAAACCTATCTTTAGGGTTTATTTAAAAATACTGTAGAGGTCTCCCTTCCTACCATCTACCATTCTTTTATATAAAATTAAATCCTTCTTGCTGGTTTATACATCTCAGCAATTATATTAAAGCTATTACAATTTTAAAATCTTTCTTAGGACCATAGATAATTATAATATTTTATATGTATGCAACTTAGGTATATGAATTGCTAATTATAACAATCAGGTTTTCAATAATTGCTCTAACCTTTTAAACCTAATTGTTGGGAACACAATCTTCTCTAACACAGTAATTGTCTGTACACTAACAAAGGAACAAGACTCATTTTGTTCAACTAAGACTTTTCTAGAAGCTTTACTGAATTAAATCCAAGATTTCTCAATGAGGTTGTTGAAAACAAATAATGCTTTACATATATCGTTCTCCTACAGATTGATAAATTTTAAATCTCAAAGAGAAGATGTTTCTTGCAGTGATGGTTCCTAGTACAGGAACTCATTGACAAAGGTGGCGATTTAGTTCCTTTTATGACAATTTATCTCTAGAAGAACATTTCTTTTCAGATATGTCTGTGGCTTCATAAATAAATTGCTTTAGTTCCATGAAATAGTTCTGTTTGAGCAAATATCTGCTTTCATCTATCTTTAGTTAATTATTTCATTAGTGTAGGTTTTATTTCTATTATTTTGTATATTTTCTGCATTACATATTGTAAGTCACCTTCCAAGTCACATGGTAGAAAGGCAACATGCAAATTTAAGAAATGAAATACTGAACTTGCTAGAACTTACTTCTGAGTAAACATGCATAGGATTGGCATATAACAGCTTTTTCTAGAATAAATACTAAATTTGAGTTTTCCCATTAGGTAGCTTTTCTATTTTTGATCAATTCATTTAAAATGACACTAATTACACTGTAAAACTGTCTTCTTAAACATTGATGAAGTCTGAAATCAGTTTTTCAAGTAAGGATTTAATTACTTCAATGGCATAATGTTTTAATTTATACTAAAATGTATAAATGTATAAAATGTAGAGCTGAGGTGGCACAATGGTTAGAGTGCAGTACTGCAGCTACTTCAGCTGACTGCTAATTCAGCAGATCAGCGGATCAAATCTCATCGGGTCAAGGTTGACTCAGCCTTCCATCCTTCTGAGGTGGGTAAAATGAGGACCCAGATTGCTGGGAGCAATATGCTATTTAGTATCCTGTCTTTGGTGTAAGCCGCCCAGAGTCCTCGGAGAGTGGGCGGTATAGAAATACGAATAATAAATAAATAAATAAATTTGATCTTCCTCCACCATGTTCATTTGTCTCCTCCCTATCCTCACCTTCATAAAAGAAAGGTAATATTTGATATTGCCATCACTGACTATTGGGGACGAATCATTGGCCCCCACGGAGAGGGTTTGTAACTTGGGCATCCTCCTGGATTCACGGCTGTCTTTAGAAGAGCATTTTGACAGCCATGACCGGGAGGATTTTTCATCAGGTTCGCCTGATTCGCCAGTTGCGTCCCTTTCTGGATCGGGACTCCCTACGCACGGTCACTCATGCCCTCGTCACCTCCCGCCTGAACTATTGTAACGCTCTCTACATGGGGCTCCCCTTGAAGAGCACCTGAAGGTTCCAACTGGCGCAGAGTGCGGCCGCGCAGGTGGTAATGGGAGCGACATGGCGTTCCCATGTAACACCTCTCCTGCGTGAGCTGCACTGGCTCCCGGTGGTCTTCCAGGTGCGCTTCAAGGTTTTGGTTACCACCTTTAGGGCACTCCATGGCTTAGGACTTGGTTATCTATGGGACCGCCTACTACCACCAATAGCCTCCCACCGGCCGGTACGCTCTCATAGAGAGGGGCTCCTCCGGGTGCCGTCGGCCAAACAATGTTGACTGGCAACCCCTAGGGGGAGACCCTTCTCTGTGGGGGCACCTACTATCTGGAACGAGCTCCCCTCGGAGATACGGAGGATCCCGATCTGCGCACCTTCTGCCGCGCTCTTAAGACCTTTTTATTCCACCAGGCCAGCCTGGCCTAATCTTTTCCTTCTTTTTAATTATGCAAATTTTAATCGGTTTTTAAATGATTGGGGTGTTTAATCTGTCTGGGCCAAATTGTTTAATTCAATTTTACTTTGTTTTTAAATTTTGTATCTATGTATTTTTACTGTTTGGCTGTTCACCGCCCTGAGTCCTTCGGGAGTAGGGCGGTATATAAATGAAATAAAGTAAGTAAGTAAGTAAGATATAGCACTTCTCAGGATGTGTCATAGGAGTTAAATTTTTTACATTCCATTGATTTTTTTTTTAATTCAACCACTTTGAAAATAGTCTCAAATCTTTTGAAATGTTAAATGTACAATACCACTAAGAGCCAATATACAGTTAATAAAACATGTGTATACAGAGAGTCTCACATATGATGAATACATTTCTCATTGAGAAATAAAGTCTGTGTAAACAAAAGGTTTTGCCAAGAATCATCTGAATCATGGTAAACCATGAAAAAATATCCTGATGACAGGAAGTAGGTATATTCCACTACGCTGGATGTTTCAAGCAAAGAATGGACAGTCATTTTCTAGGAATGGTTAATTGAAATTCCTGCAGAATGTTGCACTCAGTGTCCTAAATAGCCCTTTCCAATTCTATGATATTATGAATTTGAAACAACAAAAATATTCATAAAGAAATTAACAGCTATGTGCTAAGTATGCCAAAGGAGGCAGGATTAGGCATTCATATCTCTGTTTTAAATAACCAAACCCATATTAACATCACAAACATGATTAAAAGGTAGCATTTTTTCTGTTCAGCATATTTGTGGACATTACTTAAATTGTTTAGTGCAATATATAGTCCTAGTGTTATAAGAAAATATAATACTCACGCAGTATTGAGATCTAGTAAATCTATGGATTTGGTTTTCAGTTCCCCTCTTTGAATATATTCCAAAATAATGCCTTTGAAGAAGCATAACAATACAATTATGAATTCCATGTTGAGATAGTTTCTAATCATAAATACTACAGGAACAGGCCTTTCTTTTGATAAAAACTTACTGTTTTCAAGTAGCATTTCTACTGCTGTTTCTGTCATACTGCAGGGCATAAACCAAGGCCCCCAAACCTACAACTAGTTGAATATATCAAATAATTGCATAAACTTCGTTTCTTCAAGGTACAATCCCCCTCCCCATTGCCACTTACACTCCATTTCTGAAACATAAGTGAGAAGGATTTTGCAGATGGATGATTATGGAGAATTGCTAAAAATTCCACTGTTTTGTGCACATACTGTAATAAATAGGCTGGGGGGCACTTTGGATTCAGTCTTGAAACAATTTTTGGGAGCATGAAGAAGCACAGATATAATACCTACCTAAAATACTGTAAAGCAATCATAAGCAATTCCAAGAAAGGCATAACTGCTTTAAGGACTTGTGGACAAGTGCTACACCATACTTCTCCCTACCTGGAAGCATGTTTTATAAATAAATACATCTGCTGCACTATATAGTCCTACTAGCTGCATTCTTTTCAGATAATATTTAAAGTCTTAGCCTTGATTACAATCCACTTAGTATTGCAGAAACTGTACTTTATCAGAACAAACCCACAACAAAGTTCTAAAGTTTAAATACTAGAAAAATTGAGATTTTCTTCAACATATAGCAAATATTATCTTTATGATTATTAGTTTGATTTCTGAAACTATACTACAATACTTGCATGAAAGTACATTTACAGCAAGATCATGGTTCAGATTTTACCTGTGGACTTCCCAACATAAAATTTATATTCTGAACCAATCAATTAAATTGGCACTGTTTGAACATTGGTTAGTACCAAGGGGCCTGGTGGCTCAGCAGACTAAAAGCATTGTGATTAACACCAACTGTCTGCAATTACTGTAAGTTCGAATCTCACCAGGCTCAATGTTGATTCAACCTTCCATCCTTTCTAAGGTAGGTAAAATGAGGACCCAGTTTGTGAGGGCAATAAGCTGACTTTGTATAAAATATACAAAAGTATGAAGGCTATTGCTTAACGCATTGTAAGCCGCCCTGATCTCCGGAGAAGGGCGGCATATAAATCAAATAAAAAAATAAAAAAATAAAGTACATATGAAGTATTTAACTGGCTAAAATTAACTACCATCTAATGCTTCAGAAAACTTCTTAAAATAAATTGAACAGATAAATAAATAATTTTACATTTTGCTGATCCAGCAGGAACCAGGCTGGCTAATCCCTAACATTCAATTCTTATCCATAAAGCAGGGGACAAGATAATAAGAACAACAGAAAGGGTAGATTTTACATTTTGGAATTCTGTGCCAGAAGATGTTAGGTTAACAGGTTCTCAAGAACCCGTTTATAGTTTGACAAATATCTAGGATAAAAGTGTAAATTGTAGTTTATTTCAGCTGCTATTTCAACTAACACTTCATATTTCCCTTTGGCGGTGTTTTGTTTTGTAGTAGTGTAAGCTGCCCTAACTACTGCATAAGTCCTAATATAGCAAAATCATAGTTTTCATTAAAATAAATAATTGATCATTTCCCCTGTTCTGAGTCCATGATTCCCACAAACTGATATTTAATTTCTATCAGCAGGTAGTATCAGAGCAAACAAATACTTTGAAATGGGTGAAAATGCTCTTCCCACAAATTATTATTTAAGATGTAGGGAAAAGGCTTATTTTAGTTTTTCAGGACGCGGATGCTGATGATTGGCTGTGTCCGCAACTCCCTACACAGATCCCTCCCTTGATTATTTTTGCATCTAAAAACAAACTGCTACCAAGAGTTGTTGTTAGTTGCGAAGTCGTGTCCGACCCATCGCCTAGAGTACGTCCCACCAAAGACTAAATAGAAGGAGTCTACTAAGCCCCGCTGAAGTTTTCTTTTTCTTTTTTCAAGTCCACAACGGGCCTGGTTAACTTCAGCTGCACAATAAAGTCAGGTACAGTGAAACTTTGCCCTCCATTCGCTCGTTGCCTTTTCTCTAGGTCTTTCCTCCCGTTGAATAGCCCGTCCCGCCGCTCCGCCTTCGCTCTCCCCGTTATTCTCTTCCCTCCTGCCGGTCTCCCCACAGCCTCCGTTTGCCCGCACGCCAAGGCTTTGCCGCTTTCCCCCATCATCACCGCCCTTCCCCGCCGAGCTCCCACAGGAGTTCGCCCTGCAACTGTCTCTCTGTCTCCCTCCCAATTCTGCCGCTGAACCTTTCCGCACCCGGCGGGTAATATCGCAGCAAGAATCGCTTCAGCTTCATCTTGTCTCCGGCCGCCGAAAACTTAGAGCCGGAGCCGTTGTCATAGAAACCAGACAAACCGACGCTCTAGTGCAGTGCGCAGGCGTAGCTGGGTACCAACCGAGAAGGCGGGACTTGGTATTCTGTCTGCAGCCTCGGCCTTGTTACTATGACAGCGGGAGGCGTGGCATCAAATCGTCAGTTCTCCCGCGATGTCGTAGAGAGCTTTCGGATTTTCAGAGGGAAATTCAGAAAGTGAGAAAAGAGGAAATGCGGTGTTTGGAAGTGAAATCTTCGGAAATGCAAATTTAAGGTGCGAAATCGACTACTCTCCTGTCCTTCAGACGCGCCAGACTGCTTCTTCTTTCTCTCATCTCCGAAAATGGTGATGAAGACTGGGATAATTCCTGAAAGTAATTGAATGCTGTGTGATTTTACACGTTTTCTCAACAGGTATCCGATCAAATTCAATGGGGCTTCCTCACAACTAAACGTGTCTAGAAGTGGGACTGCCTCGCACAATCATGATTTGATTGGATGGTGTTTAATTATCCCATTTTTTTTCAAATTGCAGACAACTCACAAAGCAGGTAGGCATTTATTACACTGAAAAGCCCGTGTTTCCTATATAGTATCCTTTATTCCCTTTTCTCATTTTATCCTCAATCCTGGCCCATATAGAAATCAGGCATTTAAAATAATGCCCTGGCCCAAAATCACTCAATATTCAATGGCTGGATCTTTTCTTACCGGAACAAAAATATATTTGGATAAGAAGAGACTTTGGATCAGGTGCATTTTTCCATTGTGATAAACAGCAACCCAAATCCATATTGTAAAAACCACCAAACATGCTGTTCCCCATAATTTTTTTTTTATGTGTATGTGCCTTCAAGTCAGTGTTAGTCATATGGACTCCCTAGTCCATGGTCAGCAACCTGTAGTCATGAAGCCGCATGTTTCACCCCTCTGCTGGGGCTCCCTGTCACTCAAAATGTGTCACAACCACCAATGTGCGACACCTGCCGGCACACAATTTATTGAGCTTTTCAACCCTCAGTAGGCCGACCATGTCTAAATCCAAGAAAAGTTTCAGAAGAAAACAGAACATTTAATTCAACTACATATGCTAGTTTTGTGTCTGCTCAAGAAATAGTCAGGCACAGGAAGTATTTTATCACTCCCAGTGTTTTCTTTTCTGTGGGAAATGGGTCCAAATGGCTCTTTGAGTGTTTAAGGTTGCAGATACCTGCCCTAGTCTAATCCCTGCAATGTTCTTGTATGCTCTCAGGTCTCAGAGAGAGGAACCAGCCCAAGATCACCCAATTTGCTTCATATCTAAAATGGAACTAAGGCTCACCATCCCCTGGTGTCTTAACCACTATACCAAAGTGGCTCTCTTCCCTGTGTAGTATTGAGATTTAACAATATCCCCTCTTTGCTTGTAGAAATAACACACATATATTAAAGCAATCTATGTTGATAGACATATTTTGTGGCAGCAGATTTTATAGCTAAACTGATGTTTAGTAAGAAGTATTTCCATTTGCTTATTCTAATTCTCCCATTTTTAGTCTCTTTGGTTCAAGGTTCAATTTAATAAAAGGGGGAAGAGAATCTTTTCTATTTTTTACTCATTGTGTTTAATTTTACATTGACAGGTGGCTTACCCAATTATTTACTTCTCCTTGTAGTTCTCTTTAAAAACCCCTTCAAACTCTCCTACATATTTCTCCAGCATCAGTCCTATATTCAGAGGACAGAAGACAATCCTAGAAAGAATAAGTGGTAGCCAGATCAAAACAAATTTGTTTTAGTAGCCTTTGTATAACAATTGTCTCTTGAAATTGATCTTTTCTTCTAAAATTTCCCGAGAATATTTTCACATGGTATTATTTCAGAGTCATTATACACCAGCAGTCTCCAACCTTTCTGGCTTTGTGGACCAGTGGCGGCAGTGGCGGTGGGAGGGAGAGAGCAAGGATGGTTCCATGTAAGCAGCAGTCACCCATTTGCACAAGCATGTGCCTGTTATTTGTGTAAGTGGAGTTGTGTGCGTGAACATGCTCCCCATTTTTGAGTGGGCTGCGGTCTGGGGGTTGGGGAACCCTGTTACACACAGAATCATTATGTGTTTGCAACAGGAGAAGAGGAACGGTTAGGTACAGACATGTTGCTTATCTAAGCTCTGCACTGTTTTTTTCTATCATAATTACATCTTCCTTTATCTCTTATTGCAGTTCTTCACAAACTGGAGGGGAACTCCTTCCACTCAAGCTTTCCAAAGGGTGGGAAATTGATTAGGATGTAAGCAAAAAAATCAAAGGTGTGAAACTGACTACTAGTAATCCTCTGTTAATGATAACTTGGTCAGTGACTGAAGTTACAACAGTGCAGAACAAGCAGTGGTTATGACTAGTCCTTAAAGGTGCATATCCCAGCACTGCCACAGAACATTTGGCTCACACTTACAATTGTAGCATCCCGTGGTCAAGTGATTGTGATTTGCAACCTTCCCTCTGGGCTTCCCATAAGCAAAGTCAATGGGGATACCAGCAGGGAAAGTCACAACTTGCTTGGGTAAGTCTTCCCCATCTGCACAGCCTCCGCCAGCACTTCTGCAGTACCTCACTGGCTAGCCGCATACGCTCACACATGCTCCCTGTGCCTTATGGTCTTTGCACCATGTCTCGTACTTCTCCTTGTAGTTCTCTTTAAAAACCCCTTCAAACTCTCCTACATATTTCTCCAGCATCAGTCCTATATTCAGAGGACAGAAGACAATCCTAGAAAGAATGTGGTAGCCAGATCAAAACAAACCACTCGTATACCCCCCACCCAGCAACAGTCTCCTTAAGCTGTGTTCATGCCACATCTCTCCCACCACTCACATATCCTTGCACACTCTTCCCAAACCTCACTGCTTTTGTGCCGCACCTCCCCAGCCACCCATATATCCTCGTATGCCCCTGTTCTGACCTAGGCTTCCTGAGTCACTAAAACAGTAAAACGAGTAGTCCCAAAAACCTGTTTTATTTTAACAGCTGTGAATTCTGTTCATTCACAGATGAGTCCCAAATAGTTGTAAAGAGTGCTTCGGGATAAGGCTGATAATCACCCAGCTTTATCTCCCTTGACACGCTGCCAAAGACCTAATGGGCAAAGCCACACGGAATCCAGAATCAAACAGAGCTTCAGACTTTAAACCGAACAGAACTAACAATGTTGCTTCCTGCAAACGCCCACATGCCTTTGCTCCTCTTTTAAGTCTTATGGGAAGGGCCAATCATCTTCAAACCCTACTCCCGAGTCATCCCTTTTGTTTTAACTGTTCTTGTCTTCTGGCAGCTCTGCACATGCACGCACTGGGAACAGGCTCCCCCTGTTCCTCTGCCTCACTGAGGTCCGACTCTGGAAGCTCCGGAGGCAGCACGTACCTCCCAGATGGCCCTTTGTCTGCCTCCGATGCAGAGCCCTGCCTCTGAGCCTTCCCCAGACTCCAGGACTGGCCCATGTTCCTCCCCAGCCTCCTCACTGTCCGACTCTGCTGCCAGCTCCGCAGGCTGTTGGCAGACCACAACAGCCCCAACTCCCACTCTGCACATGCACTGCCTATTGGCCTTTTTTGTAAATCACCTGGGACTTGCAAATTCCTGCTAGCTTCCCCATTGATTTTGGTTGTTGCAAATGTAATGAAGTTGTAAGGAGGTACTTGCTAAATGATGCACAAACCATGCTTAACTATTGCATAGATTGCCTCACTAAACAAGTCATATGGCACTCCTTGTATCCCAATTGTCATCCTAACTCGACTACCTGTAATTGTGACTCTAGCTGGAAAGCAAAGTTGCAGTCATGTAATTTATCATTTAGTGACCTCTGTGCTTAGTGTCAGAGTTGCTTGTCTTAATTAGGGTTGTTAAACAAGAACTGTAGTCTACTACAAGTTGAACTCAGACGTCAGTTATGATACAAAGGAAGAAAAAGAAAAGGAAACGTAAGCAGCAGAAATATTTAAAACATCAAAGTTAATGTTAACAAATGATATATTTTCTATAGCTGGTGATTATAGTGGGAAAAAAATGAATTTCACATAGCTGAAAAAGAAAGCATCAGTTAAAAGCCAATAATTTAAAATAAATCTTTCTAAATGTTTAAAAAGAAACCTGCAAGGCTTCAAATTAGCAACTGAGATTAAATATTAACACTGGGAGTCCACACAATGGTCAAAATTTAATAAATACTTTTTTAGAGCCTCCTAAAGGCACCCCACTGTTTATCCTTTGAGGATAAACTCTTTATGTTTCAAAGGCAGGAAATATGATTGAATAGCAGAGTTATTCTACAAGATTTGGTTGAAAAAGATATCTTGGCTGTTTGAATTAGTTTGTTTTTTGTTCCATTCGTGTTTAATATTTTTTCTTTCTTGTTGGGGATGGCCATTTTAATTAGACTATTTGTCTAGAACTGGAATCCTCAACATGATACCAGTGCTTGTAGGCTGTTCCTTTGGTGGACCTTAAGTTCGTAAGTGGAGGACTACCTGTATCAGGCCATTGCAGAATGGCAGGGACCACTGATAATCTATTGCAATCATATTGGTTGATGACTGCCTTATGTCTGGAGAAATCATCAGTAGTTTATTCATTTACTTAATTAATTTATATTATTTCACTGTAGTTCATAAGAATAAAACAATTACAATAGCAACATGCTGCACATGCCAAATATCAAAATACCAATTATAATTTGAAGAGCAGCTGCCAATACATTTATGAGGAAGTCCTTGATCCATTATTAAATCTACTAAAATATTTTAGTGAAGTTATGCCTTTTAAAAGCATTTCAAAGTTAAGAGACTTAGAGTTTGATTTTTCCATGAACTTTTAGTGTCAGTGCTTGCTTGTTTATTTGTTTAATTTTTTACTTAATTTAGTTTATACAGTGTAAGTAAATTTTCAAGTTTCTCTTAAAATGCATATTCCCAGGGAAGGGAATTGAGTAGAGCGATGCCACTCTGAGTAGGCCCTGGCCAAAGTTGCTGCTAGCCTGGTGTTCTTTTTAGGCAGTGCTTATTT